GAGGCCCGACCGTCGCGCGACTCACCCTCGCGCTGCGTGTTGCCTACCCGCTGGATGGCAGGCGGCGTGAGGTGGCCCCGGGAGTGCAGTTGCTCTCTCGCACTTCCACCGCGCCCCGTGAGTGCGACAGAGACGCAGCCGAGAGACGACTCTCGGCTGGGGGAGCCCGGCCAGTGCCTCGCTGTCGCGACGCGAAAAAAAAAACGTCAGCCAATAACGTGCGCGCGCGGGTCGGAAAGAAAAACTATGGCGAAACACGATAAAAACATTAGCCGTTCCGTTTTTCCTTTTTGGAGCGAAGCGTCAAGTCGCTGGCTGGGCCGCTGCGGCGCTGCGGCCGTCCCAGCTGGCCGGCTGGCCGCCTGGCCGGCCGGTCGCTGGTTCGGCCGTTTATTTGCCGGCCCCATCTGTTGGCCGAACTGCAGCATCTTGCCGCCGCGCCCGCCCCGCCCCGCCCCGCTGCATCTGCACCCGGGGAAAGCTAAGTGGCGGCGCCGACAGGCCTGCCAATATCAAACGCTATCCGTTTCTTATTATTCTATCACTTTTTTCGTCGTTTGTTTGGCTTTGTTTGTTTTTCTTTTTTTCATTTTTTTCGCGGGCTCGTTATTATTGGCGCTGCTGGATGATGCGGCAGAGCGCGGCAGGGCGTGGCAGGGCGTGGCGTTGTGCCATCGTGCGCGCATGGGGGGGTACTGCACCATCATCGCGTTGTCGAGGGGCATCTTGACCTAGGTGTCGGAGTTCGCTCAGCAATGGAGCGCTAATTTGCACGAGAGAGAGAGAGAGAGAGAGGGGGGGAAAAACAAAAGAAGGGAGAGAAAAGAGAGAGAGAGAGAGAGAGAGAGAGAGAGAGAGATTGTGATATGCTCCCTACGGTGATATTGGGCCGCATCTCTACTCCGTTTGGTACGGAACAAGTACATACCCCCCCCCCCTCCCACTTCCCCTCCTCTTGGTCCATTACCCCCTCCCCCACCGCGGCGCGTTTCCGCTTCCTTAAGGCCCCGGCTAGCTCCGCTCGCTAGCTCCCTCTCTCTCTCTCTCTCGCTCCCTCCGCGCGAGTCTGCAGGCATGGCGCAGGGCTGCTGGGATTCGCAGCGCTGGCTACTGTAGTGCTGTCGGCTTTATTGTGCGTGTGGCCGAGCTTGAGCTTCCTGCGGGAAAAAGGAAAATACTTCGCCCCGGAGAAATCTCAAAATATCTACCTTTTTGAGGAAAAAAGACCAATAGTCGTAAAATGATATTTCATGTTGCCACAGTTTATTATTATTTAGAGAATGTATGTTTATTTATGCACGCCGGTCCCGGCGGCCATCCCTCTCCCCCTTTTCCCCATATTTCCCCAGTCCTGGCAACTTTCCCATGAAATTATCTGCTAGCAACCCTTGGCCTACTTTCCCACACTCATTCTCGGCTCTTCCTTCTTCATCCTTGCAATTCCTATCTGGCCCCGAGCAGTGCCGAGCCGTGCCGAGTCGGGCGGGCCGGCCCCGGGAACTGGAGCACGCATGGCGTCAAAATCACACTTGTTTCTTTCTGCTCTCTCCCTCGCTTTGTCTCTTCCTCTCTCTCCCTCCTTGTCGGGACGCCTCGCGGTCGCGGCATAATTCCTCCAGGCGGCAGCTTTTCTTTTCGGAATCGGGCGGACGCGACGGACGAACTGACACACTGGCAGGCCGACAGTCGGGCAGTTGGCAACACGTTGCCGCCTCGGCGGCCTCGGCATTTTCACAGCCAGCCCGGCGGCCCCGAGTGCCCCGAGTGCGACGAGGACAGTGAAGAGAAACGCGCCACCACATCTTGGCATATCTCGCGGCCGCACAAGCGTGCCAACCGAGGCAACAAAAACAAAAACAGCGGGCAGGGTGGCCAACCTCGCATGCAGCAGTGCAAGAAATGGAAATGGCTGGCGTTGTTGTTGCTGGCTCCGCCGCCGGGCTCTGCCGGGCTCCGCCGCCTTACGGGATTCCCTCTGTACCAACAAGATGTCAGAAAGGCAGTGGTGCCAACCGAGGCGAGGGCACGCGCCGCGCGCAGCCATTAACATTCATTAGCATGCGTGTGAAGTTGGTCCGCCTGGCAGCGCCAGCTTGCCGTCAGCCCAGCCAGCGCGAGCTTCGTTTGAATTTTCGCGCGCAAACGCCGAATCGCGACGCGCCGACTTGGCAACGCTGTTAATTTGGGGAGGCAGTTTATCTTTTAAATCAGCCCCGCTCCGCTGCTCGATGGTGGCTGCAGTGGCCGCGCCAGGCCGGGCCAGAGTGGCGGATCGCTCCGATTCGCAAAGCAGCCAGGCAGGGCAGCCAGGCAGAGGGGCGGGCGTCTCCTGTGGTTCCTGATAGCGGCAAAAGTTACTGCGGAGATGATAAACCGGGGGAGGGGCAGAGAGACGGAGCGGCACGGGGCGGCGGAACAAGAACAAGCCCCCGGGATCATACCTTTGAGAAAAATCCAGATCCGAGATGAGAGCGACGTTGTCGTGAGGGGCTCGGCTCGGCTCGGCGGAGGCGGGGCTTGCTTGGCGAGGCCCGCTGACATATCGATTGTCTCGAAGCGTGCTGCCGCACGGTTCGAGAATCAGACACGACCTGATGGTTCGAGTTCCATTTTTGAGCGACCGCGACCAGCAGGTTGATTCCGAATGGTGCTTTCGTCGCTCAGTCTCTCTCTCACTCGCACTCATGGTGCGTCCCGCGGGGGTGCGAGAGAGAAGCCTGATTCGCGCTTGGCGCGCTGAGCGGGTAACTTGATATGCACGGCGGCATGAAGGCGGCACTCCGCGGCCTTCGCAGAACGGCGGCAACGGCGTGCAGCAGACTGATTCCGAGAGTCGTTTTCGTCGCTCCGTCTCTCTCGCACCGTACGGGACCTCATGAGTGCGAGAGAGACCATAGTGACGAAAACGACTCTCGGAATCAGTCTGCAGGCAGCGCTGTGGCCGCGGGGCGTCGCTCTGTCTCTCTCGCGCCCCTGAGTGCGACAGAGAAGCGACGCTCTTCGGCACCAAGCGCCTGGCGGGTAGGCAGTCCCGTCGGACCGCGCCGTGCCGCGGCACGGTTTTCCTCTGCTTGGCAGGCGCTCTCGTTTACACCGGGGACCGCCCCGCCCCGCTCCGCGCTGCGCTCCGCCGTCTCCGCCCGATCCTTGAGAGCGGTTTGGCCTCGCTTCGCCCTGGCGGCCCTGGCGGCCCTGGCGGCCCTGACGGCTCCGGCCCAGGGTCGGTTCGAACGTCTCGGGGTTGGCTCTAACGTGCTCCGTGCTTCCCTCTGGCCCGCAGGGACACGCCCCAGACACGCAGCAGCTCTCCGCGGCGGCCCCGCGGGCGGCGGGCGGCTCGCTGGCGGGCCCCGGCGCCGGCGGCGGCTTCTCGTCGCTGCCCGAGCTGCTGGCCAGGAAGGCCGTGGCCGCCAAGCTGGCCCGCTACGACCTCGTCATCGGCGTGGTCCGGGCCGAGGCCTTCCTGTCCTTCTCCTCGGCGGACGAGCAGTTCGGGCTGGAGTCGGACCGCCGCGCCAAGATCCTCAAGAACTTCGTGAGGAACACGCTCAGCTTTCACCGCTCAGAAATCCTCGCCACGGTACGTGTCTCAAAACGATGTGTTTTGTTTTTCGTTTGTGTTGTTTACGTTTTGTTGAGGAAAGATTCCGACGCCTCTGCTGCAGGTGCTGAACGAGTACACGGACTGGGAGCGGCCCGTGCAGCACCCCGTCAACCTCCGCGACGAGACCCTGGAGGCGCTGTCCGACGCGCGGGTCGTGGCCCCCGCCGTGCTCACCGCCGACCTGCACGCCGCCGTCACGCCCAACCGCACCTACATCTACGTCTTCGACTACCAGACCAAGTTCGGCGACTACCAGCAGGTGCGCGGGCCAAAGAAAAACGACTGAAATGCGGAACTGGCGTGGTTTCCTTTCACCTCCGATTAATTCCTTTCTTTTTTCCGCTGTTCAGCGGCAGGGCTGCATCCATGGCGAGGAGCTGCCCTACGTCCTGGGCGCGCCCCTGGCTGGCACCGAGGGGTTGTCCTTCTTCACCAACAACTACACCAAGCAGGAGGGCCTGCTCTCAGAGGCAGTCATGACCTACTGGACCAACTTTGCGCGTACCGGGTAAGGAAGGGGATGGGGTGGCCGGGCCGGGCCGGCGGGGCCGGCGGGGCCGGCAGGGCTGCAAAAACGGGTCGACAGCAGTGGCTCGCTAAAGTGCACCTCATCGGGGGCCCCGCCTCCACCCGCCTCTCCATGTAGTCCCTGTTCGCGCCCCAGCGGCCCAGCTCCTTCAACCCCTTGACGATCTTAGACAGCAGCGCCGGCAGCGCCCCTGGCGGGGCCCGGCGGCCCTAGGCGGGGCAAGGCGGGCGGGCAGGCAGGGCTGGCAGGCAGGGCTGGGGCGCGGAATGCTTCCTAAAGAGCCAGCAGCCCAGCGGCCCCGAGTGACTCGCCTCGCCCCCGCCCTGTCTTTTAGGGCCCTTTGCTGGCCGGTTTGCCCGGCTCTGCCTCCCTTCCTGTTTCCCTATAATCTTTCTTCCACTTCCGCTTCCCGCCACTGCGAATGTATATCAAGTGGCTGCCACTGCCACCTTGCGCCGCCACTGCGGCCACTGCAGCGCTGGCAGAGTCGAGCGGATCGCCGAGGATTCCAGAAGCATTTCGCCGGACAAAGGACCGCTTGTGCATCTTTTCTCGTGTTTTTGTTGTCGTTTTTGCTGTCGTTTTGTCTCTTGGCGCGGCGCGGCCTGGCGGCGTGGACGCGAGTAGTCACCCCCCATTGTTTTGCATGTCAACAGTTGGCACTAGTGGTTGTCTTTGGCTCGGTGCAGTGAGGCGCCGCGAGGAACGAGACTCTCTTTGCTTTCGCCATACAGTGTGAAAGATACAAAACGCCAACAAAAAAAAAACACAAAAGAGAAAAAAAACTGTTGGAGAGAAAAATAAAAACAGAGTAGAATAGAAGCTCCGGCGAAGCGAGAAAAATGGGACAAGTACACGCATTGAAGCGTGTGACGTTGTCACGACGGCCTTGTGTGATTCTTCATTAGGGTGCGAATCTGGGTCGGGAGTCGAGAGGGCCGGAGAGGGCCACACAGGCCCACCAGGCGGAATGAACGACTCGCTTCCTTTCCTTTTTTTGTAGTGTCCTTTTCATTCTAACGGCCGCCCTTCCGACTGTCTGCAGGACGCCCAGCGACCCAGTGGAGGAGAGCGGCCGCGGCCGCGCCGAGCGGAGCCGGTACCGGAACCTGGAATGGCCCGCCTACGAGCCCGTGCACAAGAAGTACCTCCATTTGGGTAAGTTAGCTTTTTTTTTCGAGCCAGAAAACAGTAAAGTAAAGCGCGCCGGTCTTCCTCGGCGGTCTTGGATAGCTCAGCTCGGCCGACTGGGGCGGCGAGGAGGAGGGGGAGGAGCCACGGTGCTGCAGGAGACACTGATGCTCCCTGGAACGGCCAAGTAATTTACCTGCAGCTGATCCTAGCCAAATTTCCATTCCACTTCTCATTGCCAGGTGGAGGGGTCGGCCAACGACTACCTCTCCTTGCCGAGGCCCCAGGCAGCCTGAGGCCACGAACAGAGGGTGCGGGGGAAGGGGGGGCACTTCCGTCCCTGATTGGACGGGCCTGCCAGCCAAAATACGTAGTTTGCCTAAAGAAAACGCCGGCGTTCGTCGGCGGGGCGGGGCGGGGCGGGGTGGGTCGGAGCAGACGGCCAATCAGACAGCCTTTCTTCGAGGGGCAGGCTATTTGCGAGTACCCCGCCTGGGTGGCCGGGCCAGGCGGGGCGTTGCGTCCTTGTCGAACAAAGAGACGAGGCTGTATTACCTTCTTAACGACGAGCAGCCGGGTGGCTGGCGCTGGCTGGCCTAGGCCCTGTCTCCGGCCGTGCTGCGCGGTGCTGCGCGTGGCTTTGGCAGGTCGGTAGATTGGATAAGGCGATTCGGACGGCCCGGCTGCCGGCTGGCCCGGTGCGGCGCGGGGCTGCTCACCTCTCTCCCTCTCCTTCCCCTCCTCTCACCCTCTCTCTCCGCCCAAAGCGAGGATAATGTATGTGAGCTCCACGTGCCTTGTTCTCTTTCTCTCTCCCCGGGGGAATCTTCCTTCTCTCTTTTCCCCGCCGCAGCCCCGTCCACCCCGTCCTTCGCCGATACCCCACTAAACAGCCGTCGGCCTCAAAGGACCTGTGGCCGGCCACCCCGGGCTACCCTGCCAGACGTCGCCCCGTCTCTCTCGCACTCGGGGGGAGTCCCTTGGAGGTGCGAGCGAGACAGGGCGCGGCCTGCAGCACGCGGCGTCGTGCACGTCGCCAATGATTCGATTAGAAGCCGAGCGGGCTTACCCCGCACGCCTTCTCGGCCGCCGGGCCGCCGTCTGTCGCCGCGCTGCTCCCCGCCGCCAACCAGGCCGTGGAGGCCGTGGAGGCCGTGGAGGCCGTGGAGGCATTGACCAGAACAAACGCGTCCCTCTCCCCTCGGCGAAGACTGGCGAAGACCCGCAAGGCAGTGATTGAAAACATTTTTCCCTCTCCAATACGCCGGCCGGCCTCCTGATTTCACTCTCGGCACAAAATCTTTTCTCTCCCTTAAAAATGGGGAGGAACAAAAAAAATGGCAAATAAACGATTGGAAGGCCTCGGCGGGCGGGCGGGCTGGCTCTGGCCGCCCTGAGGGCCTTGGGTAGCCTTGGGTGGCTGGCAGCTTGACTGCTCCTCGCCATGGTGCCGCGCCGCGCCGCCGGTCCGCCAGCCGGCCAAAGTTTCCCGCGTGATTTTCCGCTAGTTTATTAAAGCCCCAATCGGCTAAAGAGGGCTCGTCCTTTACGCCGCGCGGCGCCGCAGTGGCCGGGCGGGTCTAGACGGCAGCGCGGCAAGCGCCAGAGAGCAGACGATCGGGTTTTAATCCATAATAGCGCGCCGTCCCGCGCAGCCCCGCGCGGCCCGCCTCTGGGGACCGGAATGCAAAAGCCTCCTCCAGGCTCCAGGCTCTCCAGCGCCGCCGCCCCACTCCCCGGCAGTTTGAGACGTCAGTCGAGAAGGATTAAACATGGTAGGGGCACTGACAGTCCCCCCCGGACTGGACCGGGACCGGCCCGGCGCCGCAAAGGAGTGGCGTTACGTAACGCTGGGCGTGGCTGGCGGTTGGCGCGCCGACGCGTTGGCGGGGTGCTTGGCTTTGGCGGGGCCTGGGGCGTGCATGACGTGGCCTGCGTGCGACGTGCGTACCACAGGTGCTGGGGGCCGCCAGGGCAGCCAGGGCGGCCGCACCGACGCCGTGGCGGCGCTTTGACGCGGTGCGCTGCCTGCCGCGCCATTCGCTCTGTCTCTCTCGCTCTCCTACGGCACGCCACGCGAGTGCGACAGAGACAGAGCGACGACAGCCTGCTGCTCTCATGCCGACGCCAAGTCGAACAGAAGGAGGCGGCCGTCCATGTAACTCCGACACGGCCTTTTGTGCGTGCAGCGGGATGAAGGTGCCGCCCCCGGCCGCGGCCTACCCCCGGTGCCGCCCCCGGTGCCGCCCCTGGACGTGTCCATTGTCAACCCCACTGGGCTTACCATCGGCCTTCTCTTTTTATTTCCCTCTTCTTTCGGTTTCGCTGCAGTTCTTATTCGTGTTTCCCCTTTTTCTCCAGCTTGAGGGGAAGGGTTGGCTAGAGGCTCGCGCCTTTGCGGGTTGACGCTTTTGCAGAATCAAGTTTGTTGTTTCTTTTTCCTCCCTCGAGCAGCGGCCGTTTAGAAGGACGGGAGAATAAAACAGGAAATTATTATTCTTATTCTTGGTTCATGGTAACGCCAGCTCGCCTCGCCGGCAATCGGCTTTCTTTCTTCTTCTCCTTCTTTTCCTATTCGCTTTTTTTTTGTTTCTGTTTTTTTTTTCTAGCGAAAGCAGTCGTGCGCTATATTTTTGATTTACTTTTCTAGCGCAGTGTACGGTACGGGTTGGCCCACTTCGAAAGCAGTGCGAAGCTGTGTGAAGCTGTGCGAGCTGTGCGAACCTGGTCCGCTGTCCGGCGGGGCTGGCGGAGGGGGGGGAGGGGGAGGGGGGGGGCTGGCGGGGGGCTAGCGGGGCCGAGGCCGAGAGAGGGCGGGTTTGGGCGGGTTGCACGCGGTGCCGCGCTGGCGCGGGTGCTGGGCCGTGTCCGAGATGGCGCCCATCAAGGCGCCGAGACACGCCGAGGACTCGGCGACGACACGCCACCGAAACAAGGCCAAACTCGCAGGGCAGGCTGCAGGGCTGGCGAGGGTGGCCAACGCGACGTCCAGGACGTCCAGGCAGGCGGGGGGAGGGGGAGCGTCTCAAGTTGGCCGGAAAATTCAAGTTCTGGAAGAAGCGGCCTCGCTCCAGCGCCGTGCCCGGCCGTGCCCGGCCGTGCCCGGCCGTGCCTGGAGGTGGTGCAAATACCCCAGCCCGGTCCTCGCCGGGCTTGAGTCCCAGTCCCCGGGGTCCCTGGGGACATCCCGCCCGCCCCGCCCCGCCCCGTCACGGCCTCTCAGCCACGTGTCCAGATTAGCTGGGGCCCTAAAGTCCTAAAGAAGTGCACTGCCAGAAACGGGGGCGTGCTTACACTGGTTACGGCTTGGTTGCCAAGGCAACTGCCTTCCGGGTGGACCAAGACGGAGCACCTCGCTGCCCGACCGAAATTTCGTCTGCTCGAAACTGTGGCGGCAAGGAGGTTCTCCAGCGAGTTGACTCGGCGAAATAGGGTCAAAATTGCTGGTTTCCTTCTTTCGTTTGAGACAGCGCGTCGCCGGGGTTGCCGGAAACACGGAATCAGCCCGCGGAGGGTGGAGGGCGCGGAGCGGAGGGCACGCGGGCACGCGGCGGCTGAGGAAGGCCGGTTAAATGCGGAAGGAAGCGGGGTGCGCACATGCAGCGGACTCATTCCGAGAGTCGTTTTCGTCGCTCTGTCCCTCCCGCACTCGTGCGGCGTCCCCTGTAGGTGCGAGAGAGACAGAGCGACGAAACGGACTCTCGGATTCGGTCTGCGGGGCGGCCGGGGCGGCCGGGGCGGCCGGGGCGGCGCAGCGAGAGGCGCGGCAAGAGAGTGGGACGGAGGATGGAGGAATGAATAAGTGAGAGGAGGAGGAGAGACACTCAGTGTTCCTGTCCCCGGTGCGGTAATGCGCTCTCACTCCCGCGCTCCTCGCGCCTCGGCGTCGTAAACCGAGTGGCTGTGCCCCCTCCGCCCCCCTCCGGCCCCCTCCCCTCCGCTCCCCCTGCACTTAGCCACACGCACCGACCGAGCGGACTTGTGTAAAGTAGGGTGGTGACACGATTCGCGGGCTGCGACAGCGACAGCACCTCACCCTGGCTGTGCTTGGCTGTGCTTGGCCACGCCACGCTTGTGAATGGCGCCTCCCCCCTCCCCCCCTCCCTTTCCTCCCCTAGCGGTTGCCGCCCGGAGCGCCCGGAGCACAGCAGAGTAATGAGGACATCGTCCTTTTGTTGTTGTTTTTTTTTTCAAACCTTTTAATCCAAATTGTTGTCACTTCGTCGGGCGTCAGCACGAGCTGAATTGCTAAACCACCGTTTTTGTTGTTTGCTGCAGACTTGAAGCCGCGCGTCAAGACGCACTACCGGGCGCACCGCCTGTCGTTCTGGCTGCACCTGGTGCCCGAGCTGCACCGGCCCGGCGGCGAGGGCGTGCCCGCGCAGCACCACCAGCTGGCCGACGAGGACGCCGACCGGCACGTCGCCGCCAACGCCACCAGGACGTCCACCACCAACGCCAGGTAGGCGCCGACACGTGCACTGTGTGTGAGTAGAGGCCCATTTCTCTGAGGGCTGCTTACACTCAGGTCCCACAGGAAAGGGCATGACCGGCGTGGCGACCCCTCTGGGTACGCGCCTGCACGCCGACACGCGTTTTAGTTGTTTTTATTGTTAGTGTTGGGAGTGGCGGGCCTTGGGCGGGCCGCGCCGCGCGACGCCGGGAAAGAAACGGTTGCGGATAATTGGGGCCTGTGAGATGCAAATGCAGCCAGCAGCCGGACGAGTTAACAACACCGCACCGCGCGGCACCGCGCGGCCGACACTTAGCACAACAGTGCCTCGCCAGCACGGACTCGTTATACTCCCATGGCCAAAGCCCAAAGCGTGCTGATGAATGGGAGTACTCTCTTTGAACTAGGGACTAGGGCGCGGGGTGCAAGACGGCCGGGAGGGGGGGGGGACACGACGACGACCATGTCGCGATGCCCCTTGTCCCCCCTTTGGCACTGCTGGCACACAAGACTTGCGCTGCTTCCTTGTACCCCCCCCCCCCGCCCCTTTCCCCGCCACTGCTCCGAACAAAAACCTCCGACATTGTGTCTCGGAGCTGCTGGAGGAATCCTCTCTCCTTGCCTGCAGCATTGCAGCGAGGCTCAAGCCCCGGCTCCCTGGCGTGGCTGCGCGCTGCGCGTCGCTGGGGCCCATAATGAATTGAACTAACAAGGCCGGAAGCCGTTGTTGTTTAGTTTCTGCAAACGGCTCCGAATTGGAATTATTTCGCTGCGGGCACCGTTTCGTCATTTCGGCCAGCGACCGCGCGGTTCGCGCCCAGCCCAGTGCGTTGTCCGTCCACGTCTTTTCTTCTTCTTCCTCCTCCTTCGCCTCGGTGGGGAGTTCCGTGGACACTGTACCTACACTGACGGTCTGCTCGTGCCCAGGACGCCGTCGGCCAACCCCAGCAGCGGCGCCACGTCCGTCACCTCCGCCCCCGCCGTGACGGTGCACCCGGGGGCGGGCGGCGCGGCGACGCACGGTGCGACCGCGAGCGACCACGGCACCGTCGCGGCCGGGGCGCCGGGCCTCGCGGGCGCCGCGGGGGCGGACGGACTGCCCCCGGAGCCCGACGGCTTCGCGGCCTACTCCACGGCGCTGTCCGCCACCGTGGCCATCGGCTGCACCCTGCTGCTGCTCAACATGCTCGTCTTCGCCTGCGTCTTCCGGCAGCGCGACAAGGTAAGGGGCGTCGCCGTCGAGGCGACAACCAGGTGACGTCAGCGCGCTGAGTGCCCATTGGTCGGTTCAGCCCAGCGAGCGCTCCGATTGGTCGGTTCAACCAAAGCGTCCCGAGTTGTCGCCTCTGTGAGGCACCGCGGTCCTCACGCCTCACGGACGGGGTGCTTGTCCTGTTGCAGCACCGGGACCGGGGAGACCGCGGCTCCAGCAGCGACGCTGGGAGCTCCGGCACGCTCAAGAAGCGGGCGGAGAACGGGCAGATCCACGCCAGCGTCTGCGGCTCCGAGCACCTGCAGGTGAGTCCCATCCTGTCTTCTAGAACGAGCTCGGCCCGTACTGCATTGTTCCGCACTACATCACCACCACCCTGGCGACAGATCATCCCCGGCGGGCTGCAGACGGTGACGAGCGTGGCGCACCACAACCCCTACCACCACCACAACCACACGCTGCAGCTCGGCGCGCACCTGCCGCCGCCCGACGTCGCCGACCTGCCCAGGGCGTACGCCACGCTGCCGCACCCCGCGCCGCACTCACAGCAGCAGCAGCAGCAGCAACAGGGCCAGCAGGGCCAGCAGCAGCAAGGCCAGCAGCAGGGCCAGCAGCAGCACCAACAGCAGCAGCAACACGTGCAGGTGAGTGGAGGAATTCCCTGTGGCAATGCGCGTGCTGCCGCGCTGCCGCGTTGCGTGGCTGACTTGAACTCGTTCCTGTTGTGCTCGCAGCACGCCGAGGCGGCGGTGGCGGGCGTGGTGTCGGCGGGGGCGACCCTGCCGCGGTCCCAGAATGCCCCCAAAGCGCCCAAGGTGCCCGTCAAGTCGTCCACGCTGTCCGCCGAGTCGGAACGCTACCAGCAGCAGCAGCAACAGCAGCAGCATCACCACCACCTGCACCACCTGCAAACGCTGGACAGTGCTGGCCTCGGCCAGACCATGGGGCAGTCCATGGGCATGGGCACCATGGGCATGGGCACGCTCAAGAAGCGGAACCCCGAGTCCTCACACGCGTCGTCCTTGGCCAGGATGGACGAGTTCCGGGTCTGACGATCGGCGTCCTCGGCGGACTACGACCAGGGCGGCGCCGGGCACGGGCCATCGCCGGCGTCCTCGTCCGCCGGGTACCAGGACCACAGCCAGAACACGCACTTCTAGGACACGCGTGCCACGGCCGGCACGGCGCAAGAGCTTGACCAAACCCGGGTTCGAATCCCAGTGAGGGTTGGTCTCTCGAAACGCGAGATACATTGGGTATACCTGCCTGGTCACGGGGTCACCAAAAAACCTTTGTGCTCTACAATGACCAAAAAGTCTGTTAAAAAAGAAAACTATTAGGAGAAACAACAGTGGTGTGAATTCCGAAGCAATCAAGAGGCGGGGCCTCAGAAACTATGGAAGTAAGAAGACGCACTACGTCGGTGCCTCCTTGTTCAGCCACTTCTGTCTGTGATATTACTCTGCTTCTTATTAGGATGCAGAGAAAGAGACAATTCTAAGATAATTTATTGGTACACAAAATTAAGGTGCAATACTAACTAGGAACTCTTCTCTCGTTGGTGTGATAAACTTGAAAAGTCGTACATTTTACCTTAGTCAATTTTTATTTGGTTCCAGTTGGTGAGACTTATCCATTGTTTCTTCCAACCTCTACATTTCCTTTTCTTTTTGAAATGATGTGGTCCTTCTGGCAAACCATCAGAATACATAACTGTACGTGATTTTTGTACTGCCAAATATTTTGTAAAACCAAATAATCCCAATATCATTTACGGTTTTATGAGAGTTATTGTGCATGAACACCCTGAATTTCTGTTTCCTCAAGCTGCCAAGCAGTCATCAACAGACTTTTTTTCGTTTTTGTTTAATGTGTTACTCAACTACATTCAACTAAATGTTTCTCATCCAAGTTGTTTTATAATGAAATAAAAATTGTTTTTGGTGTATCAAATAGGGTGCGAGACGAAAAGTATGAACTGTATTTTTCTTTTGAACTGAAAATGTGAATATATGTGACAAAATTTTAATGACTTGCTGACAAGCCCTGGCTGCATCACTGTGTCCACCATCCACCTAGGCTTGAACACCTCATAAAAAAGTAATAGCTTTATCTCACAACATAAGTTTTGATGGAAATGTTTTTATTTTCATGTTGTGTGGTAGATAAATTTACATAGCCACGTGGTATCACTTACAGTACAATTAATTATGTCCAATCATGAGATTATTACTATACAGAATGACCAAGCAACATACTTTCTATTGAAATATACATACTGTAACAAAGAGAATTCACATTTTAAAGAAGTAAAAGTTTAAAATACTGGCAGCCCTAGTTGAAAAGAAATATTTGGTAAAACAGTGATATCACACAGGAAGTTCATTCTCCACTTCTGTCCTGCAAAAGTGCAGATAACAACACAAGTATGTGATCCATCAAAACCTGAATCATTCATAGCAACAAAGTCTTTTATTTTTTAATTACAGTACTAACTTAGTTGAGCTCATGAAACTCAGAGTGACATGAGTACGTTTATTTTTTTAAAGCATACAATGTCGAATACCATCATATACAAAAGCAAATTCGTGCTGTTTGGTTAAGAAATTGTTCTACTGTAAGAAAGGAAAGAAGCCACATGACATCTTCAGGCAGTGGGTATCCAAATCAAAAAGAGGAACAGAAAAAAATTTAAAAAATTCTAGAGTTGGATTTCCACTGAGGGAAGTAGGACTGTGTCACACAATTCTCCATTCTTTACATTTTCAAATAAAAACTGAGGTTTTTATGAACACGATAATAAATTACAGACCCGCAACTATGATACGTGGATCTTCTACAGCTGCCTTGATCTTGCGCAAGAAGAGAACAGCTTCACGACCATCAATCAGTCTGTGATCGTAGGTAAGAGCAATGTACATCATGGGGCGGATGACAACCTGTAATACCAATCATTGTAAACAGTTGCACCCAAACTCTAAAGAGATTGAAGGAATCAGAAACTTTGCATGACTATAGAATCTATGCTCACCTGGCCCTTGATTGCCACAGGTCGCTCGAATGTACCATGCATGCCAAGAATGGCTGACTGAGGAGGATTTATGATGGGAGTACCCATAAGGGAACCGAACACACCACCGTTGCTAATAGTGAAAGTACCACCATCCATGTCTTCAACAGCCAAAGCGCCCTTGCGTGCCTTTTCTGCTACTGCAGCCATAGCCAGCTCAATTTCAGCGTAATTCATGCTTTCAACATTACGAAGAACTGGGACCACCAAACCCTAAAAAGCAGACACCAAATTATTTTTTTCACATGAGCAGGAATCATTTACAATGAAGAAAGTTAAGTTTAACATGTAATCTCACATTACCTTAGGGGTGGCAACAGCCACAGAAATATCAACATAATCACGGTAGATAATTTCATTGCCATCAATCACAGCATTGATCACAGGCTGATCTTGAAGTGCATAGGCAGCAGCCTTCACAAAAGCTGACATGAAACCTAATTTAATGCCATGCTTCTTTTGGAAAGCTTCTTGGTTTTGTTTTCTAAATTCCATAATGCCACTGAAACAATTCAAATAAATAAAATTTAAATAACAAAACTTAGAGACAAAGTTTATGAATACAAGAAAACATGATGGAATCCCCAAAATAGTTGGCTCAAAGTACCTCATGTCAAGTTCATTGAAAGTTGTAAGCATGGCATTGACATTCTGGGCTTCCTTGAGTCGTTGAGCAATGCGCAGCCTCATTCGGTTCATCTTAACTCGTTGCTCAGTGCGAGTGCCGCTGATTTCTTTGGTGGGATCTGCAGGGGGAACCTTCACCGTAGCAGCCTCAATAGACTGACAAAAAGAAAAATTACAACAATCAGATATTAGAAATGGAAAAAAAATATTGAGAGAAGTTTAGTAATATAGTTAAAGGCAGCTCATCCGCAAACCTGAGCGTGTCGGATAGCAGCGACAGGGATGGAGCTCATTGGCGCCTGTGGAGGGGGAGGAACTGGTGGAGGGGCAGCAGCAGCAGGTGGTGGTGGTGGAGGAGGGGCAGCTGCAGCTGCGGCTGGCTGAGGTGGAGGAGGTGGCGGGGGAGCCGCAGCAGCTGGTGAAGGTGCGGCAGCGGCAGGCGCTGCAGCTTTCTTGACTCCTCCAGCTAAACGAAAAAGTAATACAGAGGGTAAGGAAATTGTGCAAACCCTGAAGGTGAAGGATGTTGTCACAGCTCATCACCTTACAGAATGAACACTTACCCACAAGCTTAAGCTTGAAAAGCTTGACACCTGCTTTGACAGTTGTGCCATCTTCAACAAAAAGCTCCTCAATAATGCCGGAAGCTGGTGAGGGCACAGGAACTGAAGTCTACAACAAGTATTTATAAAAATTTTAGTATGAGAGACTGTTTCAAGGTAAGTTGAAGGGGTAAAAATGAAAATAAAATGTCAGGTACCTTGTCAGTTTCAATTTCACAGACTATTTCATCCTCAGATACTTGGTCTCCAACAGCTAAAAAAAAACATTTAAAAAATTTAATTACAAGTTTAGAGTAAGTTACACAGATAGAGAGCAAATTTAAGATACTCAAATGTTTAACACTAACCCTTTTCCCACCTAATATCTCCTTCAGATACAGATTCGGGGAAGGCGGGACAGTTAACTATTTGTGATTCTTGATCTGAATGGAAAAACAATTACAAGATAACAAACATGCACATAAGTAAAAAGATACCAATATAATCACATTACTTTTTACAACTCTATGAAATTACACAATATACTTACAAAAGACACGAGATGTTTGGAAGGAACGAGATTGTGGTGCCCATTGAATCTTCTGACAGCGAATATGGCATGTTGAGAGACTGAGAAAGCAAAACCGATCAGAAACATTCAAACATGGGGTCTAAAATTATTTTAGTTAGACAAGTTTAGATAAGTTAAAATACCATTTCGAAGATGATAGAAGACATAATCGGCTACGGGCATCAGAATGAGTATTTCGACCTACAAAAAAAATCACAATATTATTCCATTGTAACCAATATAGACACAACGACCGGCTGCATGACTACCAAACACGACAAGACACTTACCTTGCCTTAAAAATTTCTGTGCAACCTGTAAAAGATAATGTGAGTAAATAAAACTGTACCATTCTGGGCAGATCACAGGTTTGAAGCAAGTTTGGAGAAGTCATGTGATGGAGCATATGTTTTCCAACCACAAACATAAACATGCAAGCGAATCTAGGAATTTTATAAGGACATTATAAATAAATATGAGAGCAATGACACAGTGATGAGTACTGTAATTAAAACATGACAATCTATTGCTGCATTTGGTGTTTTGACTTAACCTAGCATGAAGTTGATTTGACGTGCCAGGAACCAAAGCAACGTGTAAATAAGTAACACTATAAAATACATGGCAAAATAGAACAGGTGGAAGTTAAAGGGACACGTTTGAATGGAAAATAATCGTTGTTCCTTAAATAGATGGACCGGGTCCTTCTGTTGGTAAGGACACAGGTTACTGACTAAAAAACACATTGCATTGATATTCTTACTTTCGAATTGTTGCCATTAACTATTTTGGATGTGATCCCGCATATACTCCGATGGACGTTTCTTGAAACGGACAACATCGTAGCCGATTCTCTTCCAAATTGTGGAACTCGCTGAAAAAACTGGCCAGACCTTCAGCACGGCCACATGGAGTCCGAGGACGGAGGGGACAGAACACGTTCACTGCACGGTAGATTCTTCACCCTACCAGCAGACGATTCTTGAGAGGAACTATGAAAAATTGTAAGTCTTAATCAGTCACAACAGCGCCTTGTCGTTGAATGTCCGGCAAGAAACCAACAAAAAACCAGAAATAAAAAGCGAGGAAAATGCCCAAAGAGGTATCTGCTGGTATTCATATCTGATTTTAAATGGCGCTGGTTAAAGTGATTAAAATAATATGTAGGTCACGTAAGTGTGCCAGTGTAGCAAGTGCTTTCCGCCCGTGAGATTTGTCATAGTGATCTAGATTTCTGCCACCTTGCCAACTCGACCTTGCGGTGTTGCCGGATCTGCAGCAGTTGACAACATCTTGTTGGCATAAACAATGGTAAGCAAATCTGCCATTTAGTTCAAATTTTAAGTGTGCAGGAGTTTACTACTTTTCTTAGCGAAAATCTAGAAAAAAATTTGGTTCATATCAGTGCCTTAGCTTTGTAGTACAACTTACTTTGTTCACATTTAAAGTATTTTGTGCCCCTGTACAGCTGGCCAGCAGACGAGCTGCCGGCTACACATCTTATAATATTTGAATGCTCAAACGTCTCATTCTTTAAATTTATGTTGTATTCAAAATGTGAAAGACTTTCGCATGCATCTTCATTCTCACTGAAGTTAATTAGATATACTCTTAGAAATGCGTTAGCGATCATTCCAAATGAGGTTAAGGTACTCAACATCTAATGCCTTTCTCGAGACATTTATATTCTCGTCGCACTGAGCACTAAGTTACCCCCTTGATAAGTATTTCTAAAACATGTTATTCACTATAAATGAAATTCTCCGTTTCTGCTGTCGAGCTGTGGCGTGTGGGTGGCACGTTGGGTTGCTAATGCACTTGTCTCTTTCCTTTTCTTAGAATAAATTGATGAGATAAAGGGTGCCAATCACCCACCGTCGGCCAAATCATGATTCCTTTATCACACAACAAAGATGTATACCGCCCCCTTGGCTCTCGTCTCAAGGAGAAGGTGGCAGGCTGGATTCGCATCATCTTTGCTGACCGGAATTCAAGAAATCTTCTACTTTTCCTTATCCTCAACCTCTCTTTTGCCTTCGTTGAATTGTTTTATGGCATCTGGACGAACAGGTAAGCTTAAAAGCAAGCATTTTAAATCCACTTACCATTTGCCTAATATCCCACTCATTGGTATAATTTTATTTTTTAGCTTGGGTCTCATATCAGATTCATTCCACATGTTCTTTGACTGCACTGGCCTGCTGGCGGGCCTTGCAGCATCTGTCGTCACCAAGTGGAAAGCAAATGACAAATACTCATATGGTTATGTCCGTGCTGAGGTTTTAGCTGGCTTTGTAAATGGATTGTTCCTCCTCTTCATAGCATTTTTCATTATGTCTGAGGCGGTAAGTTTACCTAAAAATCATGACAATTGACAAATTTCTGTCTGATTTTTTAACAGAGATGTATGGAAGATTCTGGATGATATTGTGATATTGTTTTACAGGTGGAACGTGCTATCGAACCACCAGAGGTGAAGCATGAACGCTTATTTGTTGTATCTATCCTTGGGTTTTTGGTAAATCTGGTTGGTATTTATGCATTCCAACATGGACATGGTCACTCACATGGTGGTGGGGGCCATGGCCACTCACATGGTGGAGGTGGCCATGGTCACTCCCATGGTGGTCATGGACACTCTCATGGTGATGATCACAATCACTCACATGGAAGTGAAATAAACCTATCTAGTGGAAATTCTCAAATAATGCAGGTAAGACTTACTTTCTGTGAGTGAAACTGTTCAACTCCATCTTCTTCACTTACTTACATTTTGCTTCCATTTTCACAGGGAGTCTTCCTTCACATTTTAGCAGACACTTTAGGCAGTGTTGGTGTTATAGTTTCTGCAATTCTCATGCAGATGTTTGGATGGATGAGAGCGGACCCCATCTGCTCAATGTTTATTGCCATTCTTATTGCTTTAAGTGTGCTTGCTCTTATCAAAGATTCGGTCTTGATTCTCATGCAGCGGCAACCAACTGCTCTAGACCATGTCTTACCGCAATGTTATCAGAAGGTACACAATATGTATACTTAGCTCACTAATCTATCTTTAGATCAATTTTTAAACATTTTAAACAAAAATTTTCTTAATGTTCTGAACTGATATTTTTTTCTATTTATTTCTAGGTTTCTCAACTTGCTGGTGTGTACAGCATACAAGAGCCTCACTTTTGGACTCTTTGTAGTGATGTGTATGTTGGTGCTCTTAAACTTGAAGTTGCTAAAAGTGCTGACCCTAAGTATATTGTCAGCCACACCCATCTCATATTTGCTGGGGTAGGAGTGCGACAACTGTATGTGCAACTAGACTATGCCCACATGTGATAAGTTACGTTGTGAAATTAACTTTTCAAAAGAATTATGCCCACTGCAGCTTCAGGAAGAGAAGAATATTGCCTAATTGCTTGGCAATGAAGTGTTCTCAGCCTTTATTAACTTGGCTTTCAAGGCAGAGGAATGGGGTAGCCCTTTTGTTGAGTGCCTCTTCAAGAAACACCGAGTATTATATTTCTGGTTATTGTTTACCGAGGCTTTTAAAACATGTATACTTTGCTAAGGTAGTTGTTAATGTTTGTTCATAATTTGTTGAGTTTTTTACCTTTATTTTCATACATACAGAAAAAAGGGGGTGGGGTTCACTTATCATTTATTGGAAAATTTTCTATTGGTCATAAATCCTTGTTTGTTGGTATGCCTGATAAAATCAAAAAGTTGATAAAGTGCATGGAATGTGTAATATTAGTCTTTGTGTACTTATTGTTCATGACCACCTTCACAATAAAAAAAATAGTTGACTTTTTAATTTGCATGTAAGCATTGTGTTCATGTTAAAGAATTGCATTTCATTAATTGCTAGGAGGGCAGCTTCTGATGCAGCTATCTAGTATATTCATACTGTCAGTTCAATAATAGTGTTGATGATGACAGCACCGTATTACCTGTCACTTGTAATTTTGCTGTTATGTTGAAAATTTTCAGTGATCGCAACTTAAGTTATTCTCCACTTATAACATTCCATTCATTCCTAGCAGCATCCATACTTGATGACAACAGTACAAGGGGATACGCTTCTGGACTTGCTCTTTTGCTTTGTTTGTCATGAATGGGGTACCTGAGAATGTCTTCTCAAATCTTTTTCTCTAGATACATTGGTCATATTTGTATATTTTATCTAAGTTATAAGTTGTAATTGCCACTTAGGGCACTCTCTGGCAGTAGCTGAGGATATTAGTAATTATTTGTTTTTGTAGCCATTGTACTACTCAACTGTGATGAATTAACTGAATTTCATGATTTTATTGATGGGCTTCAAAGGCAAGTTATCTTTTGAAGAGTATTTTGTAACACATCGTAAGCCTGAATAAAGTAGGAGGCATTATGACTTATAAAGATCACTATTGTTTTTATTTGAGGTTTACTGAAGTATTTGAAACTCTCTACCATCTATTCTTTCGCAGTGCATAATTTTAAATAGATTTTAACAATGTCTTCCTCTCTTCTCAGTGCACATTTGGTGTGTTAGGTGACAATTCAGTTCTTCATCAGTATCTAACCTGTTAATGACAATATTTGCCAAAAAGTTTTTGATGTTTTGCTTTTTATATTGTTTATTGAGTTTTTTGGTCTATTGTAGCGCTTGTTGGTTTCTGGAAGGGACCTCATGGCTGTATAACTCTTTGTAACTATTTTAAGTTTCTGCTTTCAATGCCTGGAAGTACTTTCTTTAGACTTTAGAGTGACTGCCCTGCTATTTCGGGTTCAGTGGAGTATCATGTCCATTTCTTTCTTTTGTCCCTAGATAGGAGTGGAGGGGGTCTCTGACCTTTCTTGTTCTTGAGACTTATCCACCTCTTTCTTATGCATTTTTTGTCATTTCTCATTGTGATTTGTTTGAATTTACTCTAATGGTAATTGCACTGCTTGTTTCCATGGGCTTCTGGTACACAAGTTTCTTTTCCTTTACATGGCTCCATTTTGTTAGTAGATACTTGCATGTGTCGTTTTTTACTGTTTTGATGACAATTCATTAAGGTAATTTCATACAATAAAAATCAAATGTGTCCAAATGCGTTTCAAATGGTTGAAAAGCAAAAAAGGGTCTGTAACGGTTTGTGTTTGTAATAGGGAAGGGAAGAATAAGAACTAATTAAGGGTAAACCATATTCATTACCACAAAGAGATACAATAAAAAAATTGACAATGTACCAATATTGCACCATTACCAAACATGAGCTTAATGATAATCTAATTCATATTGTATAAAATTAAAGAGGAATCTAAACAGGAACGGAATCATATCAGTACAGGCATTACAGGTGATAAGTACAGCACAGTAATTATGCACACAAGTCTATCACTGCTTATCAGTATCAAAAAGGGGGTTTCTGGACATTTTTCACAAATACTTAGACTTCTAAAATCACAATTTATGACATGAAAATTTGAAAATCAAATGTATTTAAACTAGACTAAAAGTGCAATACCTTATAAGGTGAAGAGAAATGATTTGTTTTCGTTTTTTTTCTTTCAATGGTTCAATTCATTGGATGTCTTGATACCAAAGACAACTAGATGCAAAATGCATGAAAAAAATAATAATGAAGCGGCCACATTCATACATGTATTATTTGGCCCAGCCAATTCTACACTCTGGCAACCAAAAACTTGCCACTATACATTGAATAAAAATGGATTTGTTCTTGATGAAAGCTGTACGCCAAAGCAAGAGTACAATTGGCAGCTCTCATTGTTCATAGTTCATATGACGGTCCAGCTGGTTGTGCTTGGTAACAATTGAGCATAGTTAAGGTGGACTACTATCCACAAGTACATGAAAATGATAACTAAATATTGCAACCGGCTGAGAATAGAACAACCTTAAAGGGTTGCAACAAGCAGTGTAATTTAAAAACCTTTCAGTTGTATGATAAATTCATTAACAAAAATAATCTTGATCACTCAGACAAGTTTCTATCCTGCCATCCATCATTGTACTTGGAGCTGAATAAAAGATTCAAATAAGAAATAAAGTAGATATCAGCAAATCACTTAAAAACAGAAGACTAAGAGGAAAACGCTTACAATGCAAGATAAAATTGAAGCAGCTCGTAAAATGCACAAAATAAAGAGTTGTGAGAACTTGGCACAAGAGATTTCGAGGAACTTCATTCCTTGTAACTCTCAAAATAAACTAACTTTTCACCGGTGCTGCATCATTTTGACTAGTATTCACCAAATACAGGTCGTGCAGAAGAAAGCTGCTGGGCATTTTATCCTGCACCATAATAACATTTAGTAGTTGATTCATAATAATTTCTCATAAACAATAATGTCACAAAGCATAACAATGAAAAGCTTGCATGGAAATAATAATGAGCCAGCAAGGCTCAAATGTAAAACAAACATGACAAGCAATTCAAAACAAACTAATATAATATTCTTGTTGACACTGCTATAACAGCAACTATGTTTTATTGCTTCCAACATATTCACATCCCAACCAACACACATGAGCATTCACACAAATTCATACACACAGGTGCTACATCTAAGAGATACTATGCACTCACCTAAAGCAATGCATTAATAAAATGCACAAGACAATACCTCAAAATATTTCAAGCATCATTTAAATGAGCTCAATGGTTACTTCCCATTTCTGCATAGGTACATTATACTAAAAGGTGGTGGGCCACAAATAGATAAAGTCTTGAACGTAAATAACAGGAGATAAGTGGCAATTTCATACAAGTTCTAAATTTTTTGAAAAACCTATGAGAATCCGTTGTACAAGCATTTTCACCTCTTTGATTGACTATAAACATAGAAGCCTCAAACTCTATTAGGTAGATAGACAAGCCAATTGGATTCCTTCCACTTCATATTGAAAAGTCAAGGCAAATAAAATAGTCTGGCCAATAAGTGACTTTGAAAATAAAACATGAACAAGTTAAACACAGGAGTCAGGAGATGCTTCAAACTCGAAGTATGTCCATAAACTTGGCAAATGATTCCCCTTTCACCGGCCACAACTAAAACACTCGCCTTCTGCTACTGTATGAGGAAACCATATTTTAACACAAGAGGTAAGATGAACTGCATGATTTCCTTGAAGATAACAAAAAATGAATGTGTTTGTTACATTACTCTTTAGGTGATACAAAATTATAATAAAAAGAAAGATCAAGAACACAGTCACAGATATTCATATCTCAGTCATTGAGCTTTATAGCATCAGTTGAAGTATTGGTCTTGTATTCCATAATAACAAAGAGGCTTATGCTAAATATTTAAGTGTCAACCAAGTGACATGTCTTTGATATAAGTCAATACTAATCATAAGCTTATAAAGTTCTGGCAATTCATGGAATAAAAATGCATACGTAGATATATCTTTCTATAACAATCAAGATGAAGATGATAACAACAATGATGATGATGATAATTGGAGCAAATTTCAGGACCTCATGAGGATTCCAGTCTCTCATTGGCCAAAAAATCGTCTTCCCTCGCTGATAAATTCGGTGACTTGGAGCCTACGACTTTCTTTTTGAGCCAACCTGTGGATGAAAATGGTAGAATTATAGGCAAGGTAACCAGTTTCCCCCTGAAAGGCGTAACCAATGTGCAGTTGTAAGAAAAAGAAAGAGAAAAAATTCCACCTAATCCACTGCTTTTTCAGAAAGTGAGCACCATTACATATTTCATTTAGAAAAAAACATGCTAGAATAGAGTGGGACAACTGATAAGAAGAAAACAACAGAATACCCAACCCAGGTGACAATACTGTGGAAATGCCAAGTATTTCATTTTACATGCGTAACACTTCAGGTCATGTAATGTAGGATAGACATGGTTTGAGTTAACTGAGTGCACTCTTCTTTCATGAATACAGAGGTACAAAAGGACAAGAGCTCAGATACACTCATCCTCACCAGTAAATTTGATTTAGGCTCTAATATGGCTTTCAAGTTAAGAACGCAACTGGGTGTGAAAAGATGAAATAAATATCACTACAAGAGCAGATGATTTGGACTGATGAAACCAGAAAAATTGCCTTCAGGTACGCTAACCTTGAGATACTGTGCGACCTGGTAAAATAAAAATTATTACCTATTATAGGATTTAACAAAGAATGTAATTCTTGCTAGGAACATAAGCATGAGGAGGCTACAGGTGGGCACATGCCAAAAGCACATCAGCTTGATTTTAAAGTGCAACTAATTTCTGAGTTCACCTAGTCCAACAACTGCAGCATTTGTTTGATTATGTTAGGCCACACAAAAGCTGTTATTTTGGCATCTAAAAATGTTTACCTGATAATTTCTTCTTAGAAGAAACTGCTTTCTGTTAGGAACAAAACACACGGTTATTGAAAATGTGTTTCAATTTTACTTCCCATTTTGCAGGAAGGGAGTTTCAGATTTCATTAGAGATCAAGCTACATGGGTCAACATCCTTGTCTCTGTTAGACTGACTCCAGTCTCAGCTTACTTTAAAATTAAGCAGTAATGTAGGAACACAAAAACGTACTCTGATTAAGGGCTGTACAATTAGTCACAAAGTTATTAATGTGACATACTAGGGTGTGTGTGTTGATAAAATGCACTAAGTGAAGGGTTATTCAGCATACACACATAAAATTATTGGAAAACACAGAAGACAGGGATGTAATCAAGTTAAGTAAGTAGGAACACATTACAGATTTTCTACATTTAGATCTATGAAACTGAAACTTCAAGAGATTCCCAATGCTAACTACACATTCAATGACAAACTACAACTACTTCATAGCACTACTGAAAGCTTGGGTTTGCAGCACCAATCTAAATGGAAAGTACATTTACAAATGGAAAAATTGTTTGAGACATAAATGCAAGACAAAATGTTAAAGATAACTACATTCTGTGAGCGAAAAGATTATAGTGCAGTTTAAAAAGTGGCAATGAGATATTCAAGTGCAAAAGGATAAAACAAATTTAAAGTGCTGTGCTGCACCACTCGAACTTTGAAAATCTTAAGTCCAACCCCAAGAATAAACTCTTGATGCAACTACAATACCAGGGAATTGCATTGTTTGTGCAATATTACAATTATTAAATACAAGCAGAGAGTTGTAAATACAACGCATGAACAAAAATTTGAACTTTTCATTTAGGTAACTAAGAAAACTTATTCAAAATTTTTGCCAAATGGAAACTATACTTCAAAGCAGCAACACATCAATCGCGATTGAACTTTATAGAAACTGTTATGGGTTAATGTTACAAGACCTTAAGTGGGCGATGGACTTACCTCAACCGGCTCTGCTGAACTAGAGGGACCGTTCGTTGCTCCATTGTGGTTTTGAACAGGGCTTGGAGGAGCATTACAATAGGTCTCCTAAGAAAAGTAAATTCAAAACATTATATAACAAGTACATAGGAGCAAAATCACAAACCATAACTTCTGGAATTATCAATTGTGCAAATATAGCAAAAGCAGAACTTCACCTTAATTTTCTCGATTTCTTCTCTTAGCTGTTGTGAGCTTGCTTTCTCCTTGAGCACAGCACTCTCACTTTCTTCCAAAAGAGACTTCAATTTTGTTAGCTGGTTGGCTTGATCTAATGCTTTGGCTTGCTCAGAAGCCAAGTTAGATGAAAGACGGCTTTGCTCCTACAACCAATCAGAACCCAATTCAATTAAGTTAGGTATTGAGCTCTGAACTATGCACCAACATATCCAAGACCCCTTAATAAAACAAATTTTGCTAGCTGTGTGGTCCGCTGTTGTATACAAAGTTGCTTCCTAGTTAAAAACAAGAGCAAAACAACTCACTTCTTTCAGTTGATCAATTGTAGCAAGGGCATCTTTACTGGACGAAAGCTGAACTTTGAGATTGTTTTTCTCAGCCTCGACAGCCTGTAATTTATTCTGCAGTTCTCCTAACTGTTGCTGCATCTGTTGAGTAAGAGACAAATCAATCAGAATTAGACATAAGGCAAACACACATCATTTCACACATCCCACAAGCCCAAAACTGACTGTTTTCAAAATGAAAACAAGGACTGACACCTAAAGTATGACGTTTTCACAGAAGCAAATGCAGGTAATTTTGCAGAAATAAATGTGAATGGCAGGGGCATTAAGAATAGCACAGAACACACATAAAATTCAGTAAACTAATTTAAGTCAGTGGAATGCCACAGTTGTTTGTTTTGACACAAGTTTTAACATCACTTCCCAACGGATTTATACATCACAGTTAAATACAAGGTGTGTATACTGTCATGCAAATAACACTTCTCACAATACTTGTTAAAACAACAACTTCTGCAAGTACAACAGTGCAATCCCCTAGTCTTCAAGACGATAAAAAACAGCTCAAGCAATCCTGTTTAAGGAGGACATTTGACAAGCTCAAAGAAAGCCCCCAAGTATAACATAAAAAACCGTAATTGGAACTATATTGGCATAAACAAAACATCACACGGATCGGGTATGGTAAGTGACTTCATACCTCCCGCACAATTGTGGGTAGAGACTTTTCAATACAACTATATGCAAAGTGAATCCCAGAAATATCGGTACCAGCGAAGGCCTGCAAGACAGAATGCTAACAATATGCCATGCGCGTTTGGTTAAGTTTACGTTCACACTAATAAGGATAAGATGGGAAATAAAAGAGGAACAGATGTGACAGTGTTTATATGAAAAACTAAGACATTCCCATTGAATGAAGCAGTTAACAGGCATTATCCGTGGATTTTATCTGTAGATCAGAGTACCTGAGAGACACTGACTTCTCAAAGAGTACATTTACAATATTAATAAGAATAGTCTTACCACACTACTTTGGTCTCCAGAAGAACCATTTCTGAGTTCATCCCTTTCCCGAACCACCGAAGACAGTTCAGCTTCTTTGTCAGCTAGTTGTTGCTGCCACTTAGTTTCCTCAGCTTCTACATGTTGTTGGAGCTTGTTTAGCATTCCTTCCTGTTAACATTATGAAAAATGCCCTATTAGACAGGGATAGTTCCTATCAATAAATGAACATGCAAGACAAGCACAGTGCTTACAGTATCCTCAATAATTCTCTTGTAATTGGTGACCATTCCAGATAGCTGAGAGTTACGTTTTTCTAATTCAGCAATCATCACTGATTGGTCTTCCTCAGGTAACTGCTTAGTTGGTTGTTTATTTGCTAACTCTGATACGTGTTTGCTTACAGCAGAACTGAATTTTTTCACCCACTGCTCGTGCACCTAGGAGTCAAAGATAAACAACATGGGTTGAGAGAATTCTCCAGAAGTTGATGGTTGGATTTGAAAAACAGATTGAGGGAGGGGAAGCACATACTTTCTCCTCGACAGATATTGAAGGGAACAGACGCTGCAGTGCTTCTTGCATCTTTCTTTCCTCTTCAACCCGGGCAGATTTTTCAGCATCCTTATAAGAAACAAAACAGTGACATTAATATGACAGGCAAAGAAGGGGAAGTAAGAAGCTCTAGTTAATTCTTTATCTGAAAACAAGTTACAAAATGAAAGTTAAATTGCTACAGCTGGAACAAAAGTCTTTCATTCCCCAATCTGAACGAGCTAAGATACCAGTATCCAAATGGGAGGTAAGGGAAAACAGAAAATTAAGAAAACCACATGCAATCTCAAGTGATGGAAGCAAACTAACTAGAAATAAGGCTGCACTGCACTTACATGAACAAGTTTTTCTGTTTCTTGTACTTTAGATTGGAACATCTTTTCAAATGCAGCAAGAGCATCCATGGCCTTGTAGTTTTTATTTCTTAATTCCTAAATCAAACCACACACACATACACACACATTAAAACACCACTTTTTTAAAAAGCCAAGGGAGGGAAAATGGTGCAAAACTGGCTGATAATTTATGATTCAGAAAAATGGAGTTAACGTTTTGATTCAATTGAATAAACTAAGCAACTTTTAACATAAGATTTGATACTATTCAGTTGTGTGTAGTCTAGCAAGTCTCATTATAATGTGGGATGTGACAAGAAAAAACCAAGTCCACCTGCATGCATCTATACTTTAGAAGCCCATTCTCATCATATTCACCTCTTCTTGCCCTAACAGTCACATTACTCAGAACAATATGACAAAGTTAATCATGCAGAAAAGCAAGAGGTAAACCCATAAATTTAAAGGAAATATTCATTGCAGGCATGAGATTTCAGTAAAAATTGGAATGGATAGTTCATGTAGATTTAGCAAATAATATGAACTTACATCATTTTTCTTTCTTTGTTGGTCCAGCTCTGACTTCAGATGAGCAACCTCATTTTTGTGGGCATTAATTTCAGACTTCAAAGAGTCAATTGTAGAAGTGGCTGACTTTTCTGCCTGCTTCACTTGTTCAAGCAGTTCTTCAACCTGCAGGTCTCTTTCACGGAGGCTAGAAGAGAGAAAAATTGACTGTAATGAGCGAAACAGAGCTGATTGGCTCAGAAAGATATTGTTCACTGGTTCTGGAAATTACTCATTGATAAGCTGAGCAGAGGCAAGTTTGCCATCAGCATGTTTTTCTTCTCCAACATCACCATTTTCTCGACCTTCTGCAGCAGGACGTTCAGTGACAGCAGTAACCTGGGCAGCAAGAGATTCATTCTCCTCCCTCAGTTGGCGGGTTTCAAGTTGCAGTTTACCAACAAGAGAAACCTTGGACAGAATATGAATTCCATTAGTGAAAAATGTTCCTCAGCAATACTATAAACACATTTTTTTGTTGCTTGTAAGCCAACCTGTGAAGTAAGAACTTCATTTTCTTCTTGAAGCTTTGAAATTTCCAAAGTCAATTTTTCCATTTCAGACTGCTTTTGACCAACAACATCCTTCAACTTGGCGAGTTCCGAGTTCAATTGTCCTTCACGTTGACGAGTAACAGACAGTTGGCGCTCAATGTCTTCCTTGGCAACTTTCATATCCTAGAATTGAAGTTCAACTAATGAACAAAAGAGAAGCCAAGTATTTTAAGTGGAAATAGCGACAGTAGAGAGAACACTTACATTGAGCTGCTTTTGCTTGGAGTGAACTTCTCCTTGGTTTGAATTTTGGGCATTCTTTAACTGTTCCTGGAGCTGAGCCACCTGGGCAGAGAGCAATTCACACTGGTGCACTGCAGCCTGGTTCTCTCCAACCTGCTGTTGCAGGAGTGCCATCTGTTGATCTTGTCCCTGAAGCTGAACGGTCAAATTGGCAACGTGGTGTTCCAGCGTCTGCTGAGTCTGAATTGCATTCTGGGCCTGGCCAAGCTCCTCCTGGAATTTCCTAATCACTTGGTGCTCCTGCTCCAATTGATGTTTCAGCTGAAAACAAAAACAAATCATGTTACTCGAAAAAATAAAATAGATGGCCTTTGCAACAGAGGGGAGCAATTTCTGCCAATGTCATACCTGTTGAAGTTGAGTGGTAAGGGTCTGCTTCTCGTGATGGAACTTGGCCGTGGCAGCAGCAATCTCATTGGTGCGACTCAGGAGCTTCTCCTCAGTTTGCTTGTTGGAAGCAACCAGGCGAGAGCGTTCAGCATTGGCCTCAGCACGGACTTCCCTCAACTTATTCTGAAGTGCCTGAATTTATAAAAACCAGACAGGAGCATAGGAAGTGAGAAAGGATGATAGTGAGCAGATTTTGTGGTGCACAAAAACTACTTCACATACATACCACAGACGCTTCCTGTTCAATTTGCAGAGCCTTTTCTTTCTCAGCAAAAGCCTTCTTCAGCTTCATCATTGGGTCCTGCCTTCCCTGTGAAGCAAACATTTTGCATTAACAACAAGAATTCACCACAGTTCAAGAACGTCATTGACGAGCAGCTCTTGCAGTTCTCACCTCATTCCACTCAGCAACCACAGCAGCTGACCCTTGCTGCTTATTCAGCAAGAGATCAATCAAATTCTGGATTTCGGAGCGCGAGAGCTCGGCCTTGTGAATCAGGGGTTCCAGGACGTTGGCATTAATTCCATCAGTGCCAGTGGCTGAAAAATAAAGGAATGTTAAAATGCGACAGTGAAAACAGGAAGGCCCTTAACGAGCCAAGGCCAAGGCCCTCCAAGGGCGGCTTCGGGCCTTTCGGGCATCGTGGGACAAAAATGGGCAAACGTTTCGCGCGCCGCCACTTTGTTTGCTCGTGTGCGATAGGCAGGACAGTTGGGGCGCATGGCCCGCCATGGCCTCGCCCAGCCTCGCCTCGGGAGGCGGTGACTCAACGCGACCATCGGTTCCCATAACGTGTCTAGGGAGACACAAACAAACGATTCGAGCAAACAGAGCCACCAATAGGGCCCGCTCCCCTCTCGAGCTCTCGGGGTCTCGAGCAGCAACGCGCGACGCCTAAGGAATGTGCACGGTGACTCCAGTGCCCTCCCTTCTCCGTTTCTCCGGAAAGACATGACACGGGGGCGCCGCGTGGAATGCGGTGGCAGAACAATCAGGCGCCCCCGCACTCGCGTGTCTCGTCGCTCTGTCTCTCTCTCTCTCGCCCCTCACAGGTGCGAGGGAGACAGAGCGACGAAAACGACTCTCCGAATCAGTCAAAGGCGATACGGCGCCCCGATAAAATTCCGAGAGTCCTTCCTCCTCCCGACGCAGACGGCCTTCCCTGTCGGCCCGCACCTTGCCTAGGCCTTGCCCAGGCCTTGCCGCAGCGCACCACAAGGAAAAGGGGCGCGCTGCTTGGCCTATCACGGACGGGCCGTGGCTAGCCGGCCGCGAGTGCAACGAAACGTGACCCACATATCACGGCACATCATGCCCCCCCCCCCTTTCTTCCAATAATCCCGCGGCTCTCGCATTGTGCCGTTCCGGCGATCGGGCCGCGTCACTGTGCGTTGCGCGTCATGCGGCTTCAGCTATGAGAGGGGATTTGGACGGATAAGATAATATATCTGTCCGACTAATCAGGCGCGTTTGTAGCAATCAGTGGGGCACCAGCACGCGCCGGATTTGCTGCTTCAGATTGTCCGAAATGAAAAGTCACTGTTTTCATCCGGCGAGGGGCCAGATGGCGGTGCCGTACAGTAGTTCAGAGACTTGGCCTAGTCGAGCAAAGCACGTCAGAGCGCGAGCGCGCCTCACGCTGGTGGGGGGAAGTACCTGGGAGTACCGAGCGGTCAACTCTGAATAGTGGCAGACAAGGAGAGAGCGAGAGGGAAGGGGAAAGGATCGTCTCACGGCGTTTAGACGGTCCCGGGGGTCCGTCTGGAGCAGGGTCTGGAGCTGCAGCAGCTGGGAAGGGAACCGTTAGCGACGTTACCGCCCCCCCGGCTGCACTGGCTCGCCCGGCTGCCCCCTCCACGACAACCACAGCCACACCCACGCGCCACAGCCCTACACTGGAATCCGAGCGCTGGAGTCCAGCGGCAATTGGGGCAAGGCAAAAGCTTTCACTGTTAGTGCTGCCTCCGCTCCCCAGGGCAGGGACGCCCAAAGGGTTTTCGGGAGCAGAGCACGCAAGGTGCCAAATGGCGAGGGTTGCGGCGGGGTTGGCGCCCCCAATTATCTCGGGCTGCCAAGGCACCAGACGGCAAACTTTAAAGCGTTTGGGGGAAATTTGAAGTGGCCGGGGACGGGGGGCGCGGAGCGCTTGGTGCCCCAGGCCCCGGGGGACCGAGGCCGGCCCTGGCATCAAACTGCAAGGCAGTGTAGCAGCGGCTGACGCTCGCGCGGCCCCGCGGGGGAAAAAGCGGGCGGGACGCCCGGGGCGCGGAGAGCGAGCGACCCCGACCCCTGGCCCCGAAATCCGGGCCGCTGTGGCTCGGCCCCGGCTTCGGCGCCCGCATGGACCCGCGACCCCCCAAAGGGGCCCGACGCCGCAGACCATTCCCCAAGCCCTTTCAATGCCCCGGGGGAAGTGCCGGGGCAGCGGGCGGCGCGGCAGGGCGTCTTCGAGTGCCCCGTAGGCCGCGGGCTACCGCAGGCCAGGCCTCTACTGCACATCAAGCGATGCAGACGGCAGGCAGACAGACGGGCGCCAAACGCTGCGCGCGGCGCGTAGCGCCGCGGGGGCAAAAACCGCGATCGGCAAGCAGCGCTCCGAGCGCGGAGCGCGTCGACCGCGACCCCGTGGCACACGACATGCCGCCGCTGTGGCCGCGCCGCCGCGCCGCCGCGCCTCCATGCCGCGACCCGCAGCCTGTCGCTGCAGACTCATTCCCAGAGTCCGTCTCTCCTGCTCTCGTGGGGCGTCCCGCATGTGTGCGCGAGAGACAGAGCGACGAAAACGACTCTCGGAATCAGTCTTCTGTCACTGGTCGCGTCTCAGCGACGGCCAATGCCTTCATGCCTCTGTGGCGGCGGCACGGCACGGCACGGCCGCGAGCAGCCGCGAGACGGGGGGACGTCCCATCTTCCTCATCAACAGCAGCGCCTGCGCCCCGGCCAGACGCCGGTCTGAAAACGAACCGCCGGCCGAGCGATTCAAAAGAGCGGTTTGTCGCTCTGGCTCTCTCGCACCCTTGTGGACAGGTCCACGAGTGCGACGCAGACAGAGCGACGAAACGACCGACATCGGCCTCGTTACGCAACGCCAAAATTTCCTCATTCATTCTTCATTCCTCCGCTCGCTCGGCTGACACTCTCGGTTTCTGTTTCCTTTTCCTCTTTTTCTCGGGTGGCCGCGTCGCCGCGCCTCCGCGCCGCGGGGAGAGGCGGGCGGCATCAGCCCACCGCGACGGACCGCGACGACCCGCCACGTCAGCCGGCCGCCAAGGTCACGAGACCGCGCGACAGAAAGAGAAAGCAGCAGGGAGATGAGAAGGGAGCGAATAGGGGCGGGAATTACAGCTCACGCCCCCGTCCCTGGACTTCTCTAAGGGGACTGAGCACCGGCACCCTGGAGACTGATTGCGAGAATCCTCTTCGCCGCTGCCTCTACCGCGCGCCTTCGGGGGATGCCTCAGGAGTGCGAGGGATGCTGAGTGACGAGTCTGCTGGTCGGGGCGCGCCTCGGCCTCGGCACACTGTGCCAACAGAAAGACGAAAGGCATTCACTCACTCATTTGCTCCAGCGGGTCCGCCTTCCTCGCCGTCTTCTTCTTCTTGGCGGGGGCGGACGGGGCGGACGCGGCGACGGGCGCGTGGGCGGTCACTGCCACCACCACTTCCTGCACGGCGACCTTCTCCTCCACTGGAGCGGCCTTCTCCAACTTGTCCGCGGTCTCCTTGGCTGGGGGCTTGTTCTCCTTTTCCACCTTGGCAGCCTTTCCAGACACTTGCTTCTCCACCTTGGCCGGCTGGGTCTTCTCCGTTTTGGGCGCATCCTTCTTGGGTGCCTTGGATGCCTTTTCGGCCTCAATCAACTTCTGAGCTGCCTTTTTAGCAGATTGGTCCGAGGATTCATCTTTCTGTGGGGAAGCAATCAAGAAATGGCATGAGAGGAATGCTCCAGCAAGATGAGATGCTACATTGCCACAGCACAATGAGCAAATGCATTCTTTGGATTTAAATGACAAGACCAATGATGTGAAAATTACAGACATGCACTAAAATTATTTTACACCCACCCACCCTCCCTCCATTTACTATTTAGTTACAGAAGATGAAGCATGGACACTAGATATGGAATATGTTAGTTACTTCAAGAGAAAACAAATGGCAATCAAACATGCTAAAATGAATAAAATTACAGAACTCTAATACTCCAGGCAATCATATGCAGCATTAGTACATAATTCAAACAGCGGGAGATTACTTGTTATAAAAGGCCTGCACAGCAAGAAAAAAACTTGTGAAGGTGAAGATTAGGAAAAAATTCTAAAGGGACTAAAATAACAGTCTACAGGCTACATTGCATGGGGAAAACAATTAAACAAAAGTGTATGTACACTCTGCAGTGAATGAAACTACTCTACTCAAACACCAATGGTTATGGGGAACTTACGCTCTGGCGACGCATTTCCAAATCATCTTTGGGATGGATTGTCTCAAAATGATTGGCATCAACTGACGGGCTAACTTCCGAAACTAATTGAGCATCATCTTTGTTCAAAAGTATAGGCTTAGCTTTAGCTACCTTTTTCTTCTTTTTGTCCTGAAAAAAAATCTTTCCTTCATAATCTAACTGAAGCACAAGGAATCAAAATACACCCTTGCAAAAATATAGTTATTAATTATTTTTGTTAGGAGCCGGTGTTAAATAGTCTAGAATGAATGGGATGAGATAACAAAAGATAACTTGAGAGAGAAATATGGAATATGTTAGTGAAAATCATGAATCAAACAACCTGCACCAGCCAACCAAATTAAAATGAATCAAAAACCCCAGTCCCAGGCACCTCAAAGACAAATAAGTCTGTCAAAGTTACCCACTAAAATCTTTACAATTGTGGGTGTTAGTTTCTTTGATATTTTAAGAACTTTTTGAAAACTTAACTTAGTATCCGATACAAAAATGAATTCTACTGGATTGGCTTTTGATGTTGCTCACCTGATTTGTGTTTGGAGCAGGCTCATCAATGATTGCAGCCTCAGCAACGAAGGCAACATGCTGGTTTTTGTGGTGAGAGTGGGAAATCAGTTCAGCTTCATCACTAGCACTGTCAGAAGTTTCCTTCATTGCAGCTGTCTTTTCCTTTACTTTCTTTGCCTTCTCAGCCTTCTTGAGTTTCTTCTCCTTCTGCTTGTCTTTGGCAGATTTTCCAAGGAGCAAGGCATGTGCTTCTGATTGCTGACGTTGTTCGAGAATAGCTTCCTCATATGTTTTCTCTTTAGTACCCAGAGTCATAATGAAGTACACGGCAGTTCCAATGAACACAGTCACCAGACTGGCAACGCCAAACAGAAGAAGGAACTCCATTTTCCTCTGCAACAAATTAAAAGTAAAGGCAATCAAGATACAATTCAGTCTGAACTCTAATTTTCAGAGCACTGACCCTATTGTCAAGGAGCATCAATACAACAATGGTATAAACGTAATTGAGGCAGGGCGGATAACAAAAAGTACAGAAGTCACTGCATAAGCTACATGGTAGAATCCATGATAACATTTTAAGGGCATTGAGAAATTATTCCAACTGAGGATGAAACTGAATAATGAATGTTTCTGCCTGTAACACAAACATCAAAATAATCCAGTGCCCAATTCAGAGCAAGCAATAACTTCAGTGGCCCTCCGATGATCGAAAGGGATACACCGTCAGAGAAGAGGCGGAAACGAAAATTTACGTGGTTCGTGTTTATCAATGAAAAGGGCGTAATTTCATAGAATGAGACAGAAAAATGGGCGACAGATACGCTACAGACGTGGAGAACAGACAGCAAACGCACAAGATTGACTGGAAGAAAGCGAACGGTACGCGTGCTTCCAGAGACCTAGATCCAATTTTTGACACTTGAGCACAATGCCCGGCCGCTAAGAGCCCTGCGGTTATTTATAATACTCTTAGGCTTACGGTTTCCCAGGTGAGACACTGCCTATACGCGTAGGCTTAAGTTAGGTTAATTGCAGATGCCGAAATACGGCCACGAGAGAGAAGCTCTTTTCCCACAGGGCTTGACTCGTGCGTAACGAGTTCGGCACAAACCATCCGTACTAACCCAGAAATATTTTGCAGATGGGGAGGAAAACGGCTGGTTGCGACCTCGTCTGCTACAGATTTCGAAGTACACGAACCGTCAGCACAGCAGTAAACCTCAAAGGCCGCACAGGGCCTACTCGGTGAGAGAGGCGAACGCTGATTGGGCAGTTTCATGCCACGTCTGGAGTCGGGCTCGGCGAATGGCCAGCACACACACAAAAGGGCTCACACACACTCCTGCACACAGTCACACGGACTACTACCACCTCCACCGACCGCCACTGCGCCGCTTTTTCAATTAAAATTGCGACTTCCGTTCAGAATAACTGCAGGTTCGACGAAAACCTAAGTAGAACAGCAAGCTGTAGCGAACGGCGCTCAGCTCATCTAGCGGCGATTTATAGATCCCGCCCTCTTCACCTTTAAATGCGACCGTACGAACACGAAGTTGCCCGAAGCTCTGCCCCCTAGCCGACACCACCCGAAGCAGCCCGAAGCCGGCTCGGAAAAAGCCGAAGACAACCGAAGAGAAAAGGGGGAAATCGGTCGGTAAAGCGGGCAGCCTCCATTTTCTTCGCGCCTTTATTGTTGTGCTCCGGAAAATTCATTCTTTTTGGACTCCTCTCTTTGACAATTTCACTTGAGAAGATTGGAGAGATTGCATTTGTAGGCAAGTGACTCTTGCTGCCTGTCCAGGCTCTTGCGGTTCTTCGTTCGTTACCTCTTTCACCGTTAATGATTTTACCTGCGTTGAAGGCTTCCTTTTTAACCTCTTTACACAGAATTATTGACACTTCCTGCTCTGATAGTGGCCTTTTGTGAATGAAATTGATGAAAGAATTTAAATTTCCTGTTGATTATCGGAATTTTATTCCCTACCTTTGCGTTTTGTGTATACTTCCCCAACCATGCGCTATTACCGATATGGACATTGATGTTTGTTTGTAAACAGTACAGTTGTGTCTTATTTCCGTTCTATCACTTTAGGCCTCTTTAATTTGCGTTACATCCTTTGAAATATGTAATTTTTTTCTCGTTTTCTGTTGTTGCAGGCAGAAGAAGACCATGGCATAACTTTTCGTTCATCTGTTAGTCAACTGATCACCTGTCAAAATGATGCATCGAAGAGGAGGGAAGCGTATCCGGATGGATGACCCTCCACCAGAGTATGAAAATCCAATGACCCCTATGACACCGTACTCTCCCTACACACCTTATCACAACTCTGCAGCAGCTACTCCACTTCACCCTGGGTATTTATTTGGTGTCCTTACTTAACCTTTCTCTGTTGTCACTGTCTCGCTTTATCATATTATTCATCTTTCAGGGCGGATTTGTATGCTGATAACTATGGTGGACATGCTCATCAAGAGGAAGAATATGGTCACCACCATCAACAACCACAGCAGCAGATTCAACACCAGCAAATTTACCACACTCCAGAGCAGCAACAAGCGGAGTATCAGGCTGAACTTGAGCGGCAGCGATTACAACAGCAGCAGTTAGAGCAGCAACAACTAGAGCAGCAGCAGCTGGAGCAACAACGGCAACTCCAGCAGCAACAGCAGCTTCAACAGCAGCAGTTACAAGAGCAGATGCAACAGCAGCAGCATCAAGAGCAGCTGCAACAGCAACACCAAGAGCAGCTGCAGCAACAGCAACTCCAACTTCAACAACAGCTGCACCAGGATCCGGAGGAGCAACACTTGCACCAGCAGCCGACCTCTGAACTGGACCATCATCCTGAGGACAGTGAACCTGTTCGAGGACGTGTGACGAGAGCTCGACTTCGTGGAGCAATGAATGCCCCACCACCGCCGAGTGCAGTCCCCGCCCCTACCGCGGCTCAAATACGCAGAGCGTTAGCTGACGATACAAATAAACAACCTAAGAAGAGAGCTGTTGGGGGTCGCAAAAGTAACACTGAAATTCTGTCTGAAGATGAAGCATCATTGTACTTTATTCTTAAAAATGGTAGAGCATCAATTCAGGTATGATTCTCTTTCCTCTTGCAGGGTGCATTAATTTGTTCCCTTATATTCCAAGTATATTAATTATTTAATTTTCATTTCTTAGACAACTGTTGATGATTGGATTGAAACATACAAGTCATCCAAAGATGGAGCCCTGCTGTCTCTGATGCAGTTCTTTATCAACGCTTCAGGCTGCAAAGGAAAAATTACTCCAGCTATGCAGGGTAACATGGAGCATGCTGGAATAATCAGGAAAATGACTGAAGAATTCGATGAAGAAAGTGGTGAATATCCTCTCATTATGACTGGACAGCAATGGAAGAAGTTCAAGAACAATTTTTGTGACTTTGTGCAAACGTTAGTGAGGCAGTGTCAGTACTCCATCATCTATGATCAATATTTGATGGACAATGTCATCTCACTTCTCACTGGACTGTCTGATTCTCAAGTTAGAGCATTCAGACATACTGCTACCTTAGCTGGTATGTACCCTGGCTATCGAATGGTGCTTTTTGATTTAGTTTTTCACTTCATGTTACTAATTGTACTCTTATTTATTAAATTTAAGCTATGAAACTTATGACAGCCCTTGTTGATGTGGCACTGACTGTTTCCGTCACCTTGGCTAACACTCAACGTCAATATGAAGCTGAGCGTCAGAAAACAAGAGACAAGCGAGCTGCTGATCGTCTTGAATCTTTAATGGCGAAACGTCAGGAACTGGAAGAAAACATGGATGAAATAAAGAACATGCTTACATACATGTTTAAATCTGTGTTTGTCCACAGATACAGGTCAATACTTGTCATTTGTTCTATTTTTCTTTTGAAAACCTTGATGTTTAAATCAACATTTCATTTGTTGTGTGTTGTGTTTTTGCAGGGATACACTTCCAGATATTCGAGCAATCTGTATGGCAGAAATTGGAGTCTGGATGAAAAAGTTCCACTCCAACTTTCTTGACGATTCTTACCTCAAATATATTGGATGGACATTGCATGACAAAGTGGGAGAAGTCCGTCTTAAGTGTTTGCAGGTAAACAACTTGATCTCACTTTGTTACGGAAAGAGATTGCCTGCAATACTTTCACATTAAAAATATAAATGATCAACTTTTTCTCTTAGGCTCTTCAACCCTTATATGCTTCAGAAGAATTGAAGGGAAAACTTGAATTGTTCACCAGCAAGTTCAAAGACCGTATTGTAGCCATGACTTTGGACAAAGAATATGATGTGGCTGTGCAAGCTGTGCGACTTGTTATCAGCATTTTAAAGTAAGACTTAAGTGAATTAGCTTATACTTTTGTTGTCTGCTAAAATTTATAATTAATTTTCTTTGATTTTCTTTTTATAATGTTTTAACCTTGTTTTCCTATCTTCCTCCTTTTTTTGCGGTGCGTTTGTAGACATCATAGAGATATTTTGACAGATAAGGATTGTGAACATGTCTATGAATTGGTTTATTCCTCCCATCGTCAAGTAGCCCAAGCTGCCGGAGAATTCCTTAATGAGCGTTTGTTCGTTCTTGATGAGAATGCTGTTAATGGTATAAAGACCCGCAGAGGTAAAAAGCGCCTGCCTAATACTCCCTTGATTCGGGACTTAGTTCAATTTTTCATCGAATCTGAGGTGTGTGATAGTTACTAATGAATTGGTTAAATGGTCTTCATAGTGTTTGAATACTTGGAATCTAATTAGGGTTCAATTGTTGCCAGCTTCATGAGCATGGTGCCTATCTTGTTGACTCTTTAATTGAGTCTAATGACATGATGAAAGATTGGGAATGCATGACAGACTTACTCATAGAAGAACATGGCCCTCATGAAGAACCCTTGGATGATCGTCAAGAGACTTCTCTAATAGAAATCATGGTCTGTTGTATCAGACAATCTGCCACTGGAGAGCCACCGGTTGGAAGAGGTCCCACCAGGAAGGTATGATGTGAATCCTCTGATCAGTGTGATAAATTAAACATCCTTCTTACAATATTAAATTAAACCTTTTTAAACCTTTCAGCAAGTTCCTTCAGTAAAGGAGGTCAAACAGGTGAAAGAGGACAAAGAGCGTCTTACAGACCACTTCATGCAGGCTCTTCCGCCACTTTTAGAGAAGTATGGTGTAGACAGTGACAAACTTACCAACCTGCTTTGCATTCCACAATACTTTGACCTGGAAAGGTATACCAGTTCAAGACAAGAAGGGGTATGTATTTTCAATTTAACAGTAAGCCATTCTTTTAAGATTTTCATCTTAAAACTACTGTTGTTGATTTTTTTTTTCTTTTCAGAATCTTGACAAGCTCTTGAAAAAAATTCAGAATATTGTGGACCGTTCTACTGACAACGATGTCCTGGACGCTTGTGCAAAAACGTTGGAGTTTCTTTGCACTGAAGGCACTGCCATTTACACTCGTTGTGATGTAGCTCGTTCAACTCTTATAGATACCCTAGTTAACAAATATAAGGAGGCAATGGATGATTGGCGTTCACTCATTGAGGGGGTAATTATACTCTAATACACAAATAGTGAGGCAGTTGTACCAGAAATAATTTGGTTTTCTGCATCAACAACAGGAAGAAGAACCTAACGAAGAAGAAACGTATCAAGTCATCACAAGTCTGAAGAAGGTCTCAATTTTTTCAGCGTGCCACAATTTAGGCCACTGGAACATTTGGGATTCCATTTTCCAAGATATCCATGATGCAAAAGAAAAAGTTCGCAAAACATTACCTGAAGAGGTGATTAAAATTACTTTTTTCCGATTCATTTGCCACCTTGTTTGGACAGCCTGAATTATCTGGCTATGTTTTATAATTGCAGGCCATTAAATATTGTATTGGTGCTTGCTATTATGGCATTTTGTGGGATCTGAAGACCATAGAAGAACGGTTAGAAGCTGGAAGCCCAGTTGAGACCGAGCTTCCTAATCTGAAGAACAAGCTTCGTATGTTCATGGACCTCATGAAGCAACTATTACCACATGCAGACGTACAAATGTATCGAGATGAGGTGAGTGTGTCTGACTTCTCACTTGCTCTGCTCCTGGACATGCCTTTTAGAAGATAGGTCCTCTCATAATCATGTTCCATGTTTCAGGCCTACATCACTTTGTGTGATCTTCTTGTGCTGTTCAGTAATCAACTTGGTCAGGGAACTCACAATGCTTTAGAACAGTTGGTTTATGAAGCAGATAGAGAGCTTCAGCAAATGCTGAATGGTTTTATTCAAACTTATGTGTTCATTGATGAAGATGAGGGTAAACTTTTTTCCTTTTGCTGTTTTGGATGTGTTAAAAACTTACCTTAAAGGATTTTTTTTTTTTAACTAACTTTATTTTGCATTTTAGAGGAACTTGATGAGCACTCAAAAATTGAGGAGCTTCATAAAAGGAGGAACTTTTTAGCTTCTTTCTGCAAACTAATTGTTTACAATATGATGCCTGTCCAAGTTGCTGGTGATGTCTTCAAACATTATGTTAAGGTAACAGATTATAGTACAGTATTTATGGTAGTGGAGGGAGTAGGGGGTATAGCACCTGTTCCATAATTTAAAAAAAAAAAAAACTAAGTAGTTTTTATTACATGGTCATGTACGCTCTGATTTAAACAATGTAGGACAAAAGTATCTCAAAATTGTATTACATATCTGCAGATCAACTACCATTGTTTCATTGTTACAGTACTACAATGATTACGGTGATATAATCAAAGCAACATTAGGAAAGGCAAGAGAAATAAACAAGATCAAATGTGCTCGCACTATGGTTTCCAGCCTCATTTTCATTTTCCAAGAATTGCAGACTGATGGTCAGAAAGTCAATCGTAGTGCTGAAGAGTTCACCAGTGTTAAGGTAATTCATTATCTGATCAAATAATGTTCAACTTGGACAAACTTCATTTAAGATATTTTTTCTTTGTTCCAGGAACTTGCCAAGAGGTTTGCTCTGTCATTTGGGTTAGATGCAGTGAAAAACAGAGAGGCAATAACTATCTTACATCGAGAGGGAATCTTATTTGCTGTGCAACAAAATGGAGATGTCCCTGAAGATCCATCAAGTCCCCCACCAAATTTACCTTTCCTTGAAATTCTCAGTGAATTTACCAACAAGCTTTTGAAGCAAGACAAGCGACTTGTGTGAGTACATCTTATTCTGACCCTAGTCTGCTATATGCTTCTGTACCATAATTTTTGTTTTGATTGTGTTTACAAATGATTCTTAAATATGGCCTTTTTTTGTTTTCCAACTGTCTAGATTGGGTTTTTTGAATCGAAGAATTTCTGCTGGTATGCCATCCAGCCGTGGAGAAGACTGGCAACCTCTTTTACAATACCGTAACAGTTTAGTTCATGGGGAGTCAGATCAGCCAATAGTCACCTCCAAGAGGGCTTACGGCCGTAAAAAGAAGGATGCAGGTATGTTTTCTCTCTACATTAATAATAATAAATTTTGGCTCAATGCTTCTGTATATCTGATTGTGCTTGTTCAATGTATCTCAGCTGATGATGGTGATGATGGAGGTGATGACAATGCCAACTCTGAGGATGAGTATAATGCTGGGTGAGTACCTATTACTTATAGGAAGATGGTTTAAGTTTGTGACGCAGCATGTTGCAGCATGGTTTGCTGTGATGGGAAGGGTGTTAGTTCTTGCCCAAGAGTTCCCTATGCGAGATAATATGCAAGCAATCATAGTGTGGACTGCTTTTGTTTGTTTTACTGTGATAATTGTCTTCTGAGCAATGTCTTGGGTTAAGGTGGTGTATCGTTTTGCTTTACATAAAAATGATAAATCCAGTTTTGCGATTGATTGCGTTTTTGTGGAATTAAACAAAGTAAAGATCTACTCAGATCTGCCCATCACTCAGTTGAAAGAAAATGCGTAGTCTCTTGTTCCATAGATTCCATAGAACTTTTATCTGCTGTAAATTTACTCGCTGTTGTCTCCTGGGAACCAATATATAAAAAATTGGGAAATGTTCAGGATTTGACTACAACAGGGTCACGTTCATGCAGTCCCTTTCAGACACTTACCACACACGTTATAAGTAGCTGTTCACAGATTATATCAAGTGGGAGGTTTTTGTGCGGTAGTTCTGGTTTGTAGACAGAGCATTATTTAATCTTCCCTTCTCCGCTCCACTTATGTCAAATTTTTTAAGGATTCATGCTGCTCTCAGTACCCCACAGTTCTGCTTTTGTTTTATCTTGCTTCTGCCATGAAAAAAAAATATTTGCCTCAAGCATTTGGGCATTACACACCTTTTGATGCTTGTCTTACGGCGAAGGACCGTTACTGCTGTCCTTTGATGGTGAATCTCCTACATTCGCCAGGTACCGGTGTTTTGCCGTAACACTTTGTTTGTCAAGTTAGTCCACAGATTCATCACTTGTGGGGTAAATATTTTTCTAAAGGACTTGGTATTTGCTCTTATACATTGTATGCGGCGGATGGTTTAAAAAGTGTTGCACCTGTTTGTGATTGTGGGTTGAAGTGCTTTATCACAATGCCTGACACTTCTCATTACAAACTCACCCCTGTGTGGTCTTTTTTTTTTTTGTGCCTGCCTGAGGTCTGACTGAGGCATGGTAAGTGGGAACCACCATAAGCTAACTTTCTTACTCAATTATTGTCTAGTTGTATTTAAGTACAGTCTTTACATGACCAGTACTTCAGTGCGAATGCTTAGACAACTCTTACATCCCAATCCCTTTTCTTTTATAACTAAAATCTCATTCATAGTCTGCTTGTAGCTTATGCTATTCTCTCTCACATGTAATTTTTTCTTGTCTAATTCTTAAATTTCCAGGAATGGAAAAGTGTCTCATATCACTCCAGTTATTTAGCCTAGTCTTTCTTTTCACTCTGTGTCTTGTTCATATAATATTTGTAAATTATTGTAACTCCTTGAATAAGATAATGCTGCCTCCTCACTTTACTAAATTTTGGTATGTGGATATGATCTGGTTTTTGCGTTTTTACACTTGTTCCCCACTGTTCAAATCATACTCTATGGTGAGCGTGGTGTGAGAAAATATTAAATCAAATTGCATGACTTATGCTATGCTTTACATGGAAGTGAGAACTGCTTTGCAAGATAAAGTAACCTCAGCTTTTATTATCACATCCACGCAATTGGTAAGTATGTTATTTCACATATTTTTACAAACCTACTACATTTACTTTGTATTTTGTCATTCTTGGTTGAAAATAAATTTTAAAATTTCCCCTTTATATGCATGGTCTGTAGACTCGTCTGCCCACTGTCAAAGCATGTCTCAAAACATTTCACCTTCTACACATTGTTAATGGATCTTTTCCTTTTCACCATTTTAATCAAATTCCGTCAGGATGGAGCATATTTCATACAATATTCCAACCCATGTTTCTGTTCTGTGCAAGTCATCTCATAAAATGCAGCATTATGCTGTTAACAGAATTAATAATACCTCTGTAGAACTCGAGCTGAGAGCCTACAAAGATAGTCTTATGCATTTCATGTTGCTTAAAGTATGGCCCATCTGGTGTATGTCCTTTACCTATTTGTTTTACCTTCTTGCTTTTTAGATTGAACTTTTCCTTATCCGGTCACTGTCCAGCTGTATGTTAAAAAGAATTCAGACTTCAACTAACAACCTGTTTTCTCTTTACATTTTCAGATACTGACGTAGTTAGTTCAACAAAAGTACTCCAACGTAATATGTTTGACATCATCTTTATCTCACCATCGGACACACTTCACTTCTGCTCGTCATCTTCTGATCACCAAGTGTATAGTTTTGTTGAAAAATGTGTACTTGAATTTTTGAAGGGTCTTTAAACATCTATTAACCTCAATTGATTGTTTTTTAAGTTATGACATGAAATTCTAATTTGTATATATAGAAGTAAGTTTATATTGTTATTGTCCTTTGACAAAACAGACCTATATGAAATGTGTGCAGTAGTATTTAATTTAAATTAAGTCAAGATGTAACCTAGCAGAATGCACTTTTCGTGACAATCAAGCCATTCTCAATATATCTCTTCAGTGCTGGTTATCAGCACTTAAATCAATTCTTATGTTTGTTTTTTTGGTTTTATTTTGTAACTTTTAAAAATGTATATCAACTAGGCTGAGATCTCTTAAAGTCGACCAACTAGTATCAAAGAACAGTAGCAAGTCATCAGTTTGCAGGGTTTTGAACTTGAAGGTTGAATTCTAATGAAATTTTAACCTTAATGTAGTTGACTGATTCTAATGATCCAAAGAAACCTTGCCCATTTTTAAAATTCTTGTTAAAATTTTAATGTGTTGTGGTATATATAGTGATAAGTTATTGTGTAGTGTGCAAAATGAATTGCCTTTTTGTAAAATTGTGCATTACTTGTTGATTGTACCTATTTTATTTGTGTGCTTGTACCCCTGTCCTTATCAATCTATGAGGAAATTCTGAGCAATAACAGTTGGTGGCATTGATAAAGCTCACAGAGGAGTAGTACTCCTCACGGCCGTTTTAACTAAATTTCTTTGAATTACAATTGAGCTGTAATGTCTCTTAAAGAGCTTCAGCAGTGAAATAAAAGTTCTTTTACCCTGCCTCCAGAATTATTTACATTTACTGACATCTACCAAAATTTATCTTTAATCAAAATAAACAATCAGTAGCAAATAGATGTGCACAAGACTGCAGCATAGTATGTATTGAATTCAATCAAATAAGCCAATGTTTTAATGATCAATATCAAACGGTTTGTTGGGACCACTTTAGATCTATGGTTTTCACATTAGTCAGATTGGTGTGTGGGGAGAGGGTGTGTTATGAAGTCATTCCTTCTTACACAAGGTTGTAATATTGTCATGCTGCACTGAATGTGTAAACTGACTATTTGTATGTGATTTTCGGTCAGCAGTTGCCATCTAGGCTTCTGTGTTCTTTTCTATTCTGTTGGTACATTTGAGTTCTTATTTTGCAGGGTGCATGCAGCCAAAGTCACTAGGAAGAGAGCACAAACTACTGTGAAACCAAAGTATGACAAATTTGCACTTTTTTTTTTTTTTTAATCAGTGGTATTACCAGCTTGGTAACCAAAGAACATAACTTTTGAGAAATATTATTACTTGTTTGTGTTTTTATAGGCTTGATATTCGGATTGCCCCAGTGAAAAAGAGAGCTGTTGAACTCTTTTCATCATCATCCCCTTCAGCATCAGGTTCCAACACACCTCCCACTGCAAGCCATAATGGTCCTGAGAAAAGTAGGATGAAGCCAGCTTCTCGAACTCGCTCCTCATTCCATGAGCACTTAGGCGCAGGCGGAAGTCCCGAACCATTTTCTGGACGTCTGAGAAAGAGGTCATCAGCTGTTCACAGCTATGAAGAACTGAGTGACATTGATTCTGATGATGACAAAGGGTCTTCCAGGCGTCGTAAGGTAAGTTGTGTTGGCTAAAAAGGGACTTCCACATTTTTGTAGCCAAATTTTTTACCACCATTCCTGAGTTCTTTTGTTTATTTTTGTCTATTTTTTTTGTACTTTTAGGGAAGACTAAGGCTAAGTCGCAAAGATGGTGAAGTGAACAACAACTCTGATGCAGTCAATAGTGGAGATGAAGGGACCTCGACTTCGTTGCAGATCTCTTCAGATGAGAGGGGGGTTGAAGTTGCAGCCAGTGCATCTCTCTCAAAATCATCTGCATCTGATTTACAAGTTTCATCTGGACTCGATTATGAAGGAAATAATGAAGAAGAAAATAGTCATCATCTCCTTGGTGAAGGTGATGGCAGTGATGAGGATAGTGAATGACAGTAGTTCTTTAATATTTAACTCTGCATGTGATTTTATCAAAAACAAAAAGGGAAAAAAAATTGATATGTTTTGTTCAAATTATGTGCATTTGTTAATGGATTATCTGTTAAGTTTTACTTTTGTTTATGGTTTTGTTTTTCTCAATTTGATTAATAGCCATGTTTTTTTACAAAATTTTGATTTCTGTAAATAGACAGCTTTTTGCAAACTTTTTATTTTTCTGTTTAATAGTATTGTATAATGTATTACAATATTGCATATTTCATGACAACTAGTGTGGTGATTTTATGTGCCATTGAGCCAGAATCTTTTTTCATGTTTTGATATTTAGACTTTGAGTCAAATACAAGATTCACTGATGTGAGGTAACAGTTCATCTTTTTTTATCTATGATTGTAATTGGTTTAATAAAATGGTTGATACCATGGACAATGTACGGTTTGTTGAACGTGCCATTGATTCTCATAGTTTGACATGCTGAGGTCATAATCTCTTTATTAATAGACAAGATTTTATCACAATAATACACAAAGAACAGCTACAAAGCTAGGTGAAACTTGCCTGATTTAAATATGGGCAGCAATCATAGTAGTAGCAGCTAGCCTATCAAGTTGCGTTTTTAATTCTTTCTAGTTAACTATTGCCTCACCCTAAGGCAACAAAGAGTAAAAGCATCTAGAAGCAACCTTCTTAAATAATAACACTTAAGTTGCGCCTTTTTTAAACAATATTGGAAACATTACCATGAAATGAACTATGAAATTTGTTCCATTTCATCTTTAGGTCACTCACCATGGTAAAATGGCACTGACTTCTCTTACTGCCTAAAATAAAAAATTTAATAATAATCACAGAACCTTACACACAATCCTGCCATCGTTAAAAGCTGTATAACTCTGCATCACAAAGAACTTCAAGGTGCTGGGGCATGCATGGCATTGACAGCAAAGCAAGTTGTTTAATTGAACAACATCCAGTAAAATCCGTGTAAGTTAGTATAATTTACCGGGTAACAATGAAAGAATGACAATGTTATATTGAGAGTCAGTTCTTATGAAGTATCAACCATGCATCAATACTAGGATAACATTTACAAAAGGCTCAATAATGTGTCCGAGTCTTGAAATGAAACAATGAGCACAGTGGTTATCACAAAACCTGGTAAAACAGACAAAATTGTGAAACCAAATGGCCGACGATTAACTATAAGATCACTAATTGGTCAGAAAGTCACTTGTTTCTTAAGCACTGCCAGAAAATTTAGAAAACAAGACTTTGGGGGAGGGGGGGGGGAATGACATAAAAGCGCATAAAAGCACTATACATGAACACAGGTAGGAGAAAGTTACTTCTCTTGTGCCATGTTAATCCTGTAGAAAAGAGTTTACTCTCATATCTATGTAAAGAAGATAAAAACCTCTTGTCACCACAAAATTTACACAGTGAAATTATGATTCTGACTAAAGGCCTTAGCTCTCAATAGGACAACCATTCTAAATAATTAGTCAGTTTTAATACAAAGATGTTAATACACATGAAATTTGTAGCAAAAAGGGAAAATTACTAGGTGGTCTTTAAATTTCATCAGACAGAAACAATATAGTTACGAAAGGAAAAAAAGAGGAAAATATCATAATACAAAAATATCATTTAGCAGTAACAGCTCCTTAACTTAATATGTACAGTTGTTTTATTAGAATGAAAGGCACTCACAGATCAAAAAGGACTGGGAGCTTTTCAAGCAACTATGGTAGTTCACAGCACACACCACTCGCAGGTTAGTTGGAAGAATCCCTAGCATCTTATGCAGCTTCAGCCTAGCGAAGTGAAGTTTTTGTCTTTCTTTTGTGTGAGCCCAAATCATTCTAAAGTGACTGCATTAGATACATTTTAACAAACAACACACAAGAGGTACGGTATCAATTAACAAGTATTATCTGATTAATATTAACTGAAAAATGATAAAAATAAGAGACTTATATAAACATATCGATAACAGCACATTAAGTTTATCAAACATAACCAGTTAAAATCAACATTATTATACTCAGACAGCCCCATTTCAAAATTGAGATTATTTTACAAGAGGGACACCAGAGCGAAGGTGCCAGTATGATAGATAATGAGTTTTGAGTTAAAGTGAAATGATAAAACAGTGCTTTACTTTGCTAATTTTCCAAACAAAATTTCTTATAAACTGTCCAAGTTTTTGCCGAAGTTCATTTTTAGTAGTAATTATAAAAAGCACCAAAGCAGCTAGTCCAACAGGAACCTCTCATTATGTTTCCTTAAAGTAAAGCTACACTTCTTGTAGCTGGGAGAAAATAAAAGCTTTGGAATGCCTTCAGAGCGATAAGAAGGCAAGACTGAAAACTCCTACCATCCACCTTGTCAAAACAAAACATCAACGCCATACTTGACCTTGCTAAAACCTAAACAACATATCACAATTACAGGTGAAGGAAGATTCATACCCACCACAACAAATTCAAACATTATGAGAAGCTGATTCATTTACCACAAACAGTAAAATACTTTGTCTTAATGGGAGAAGACTGAAGTTAACCCTTTCTCATAGATTTTGTACCATTGAAATAATTGAAATTTAACTCATAAGATGTTTGTTAAGCTGTGTCTGGTACTAGTCATTCCTCCACATCACAAGAAACAGAGGATATCATGTCTGTTAATGCAGTATAGTATGACTGATCTGTGTCAATGGACGGATGGTGGGTTAGAACAAAAAGCCATTTCTTTGGAGGTCACCTGATAGTTCAGTTCACAGTTACAATATCACCTCCACAGAGCAACTCATCCTTTGGAACAGATCATTAATTAACTGAAGGCTTCAAGGGTGGAATTTCTACAAAAACACCTCCATATAGCTTTACACATGCACACTAATTTGAATGAACTAACAAAGGAATGAGCGACTGATTACATTATAGATTCAGAAAAGAAGATGCATTGAATAAAATTCCTTGAATAAAATTACAATTGTTGATCAATAACACATGCGACTAGAAAACTTACCTAAAATAAATATATCTGATCGAATATATAATCTGAAAAGGTATTGAAAAAACCTGGGAGTACACAGTGATAAGACTCCCACACTTCATACAATACAGTAATAATTGAACCATACTGAAAATATCTCATGCAATTTAATGAAAATTCGTGGGCAAGATATTAGGTTTTCAGAAGCAAACAAGCCATAATTGATAACTTATTTTTACTCTTTTGGTCCTTAGTTTGAAGTAATAATAGAAGCTCGTTACCAATCATACAACTGCAGGTTTGCGCTCACTGGAGTTTGACCTCTGAGAACTTGATGAAGACCTTACAGACACTGTTGGAAGACCTGCAGCAGACCAAGAGCCAGGAACTTCTTCTGCTTCTTCAGCACCCTCACACGTTTCATCTAAAACACACCCTTCTGCTTCACTTCTACTACCCAGCAAAGCCACACGGGAGCCCCACTGGCTTGGAAGCCCTCCACGCTCAAAATGATCATCTGAAAAGTCCAAATCGGTGGGTTGACTGTTGATAGAATGCTCTCCTGAAGACATGTTGTAGCATGTCACTGTTTCTTGACTGTCTCCTGCAAAAGTAGAACGTAGAGAATATACAACCTTTACGTTCAAACTCCAATACTGTATAGAGGTAACTTTAATTTATGGAAAATTCATAGGAAATAGGCCAAAATACCTTCTTGTCTTCCTGCTGAGCTTGAAGAAACATCTTCTTCGGTGGGTGCAACAGTAGAGGTGTCATGCTGACGTCTTTGTGATTGAGCATTAAGTCTGCGATGATTAACAATTCTCTCTATCCAATTGAGGTGCTGACTGGTGCCACCTGGTACAGTTTCATTTCCAGTCGACGAAGTGGCTGCACCTTCTTCAGCTTGAGGCCTGCCACTCCTTGATGACGTTGAAGAAGATGCGATAGAAGAGTATGAGCTCCCAAATAAACTGGGAGACGCAGTTGAACTCAAAATAGCATTTCCCTGAGCACAAACAAAATACAGTTGCCTGGATAGCTCAAAACAACACAGCATATTTGTCAGTAAACGAAATATCGGACAAATCTTACCGTAGGTCTATCAAATGTTCCTCCTTGAGTGCCTTGAGGCCCACCACGAACCAGAGGAGTGGTATCATCAGCATCAGTATCAGAGTCTGAATCAGACATTCTTTCATCCTGAGCGAACACCTTGCGTTTACATACTGGACACACACGTCTATTTCGCGTCAACCAGGGATCAATACATTTGCTATGGTAAGCTGAAAATTTAACAACTTATAAGTTTCTGAATACTACTATTAAAAAAATCCATTGGTCTTTTTGAAATGAGCATAATTTGCATACCATGAGAACAAGGAAGTATGCGCAATTTCTCTCCTTCCTGGTAATCATCTAAACAAATAGCGCATGTTTCATACGGATCTCCCTTCTGGAACTTTGATGTAGGTATTTGACGCAAAGATGCAGCAGGAAGTCTGTGTCTTCTTTGACGGCGTCTATCTTGTAAACATTTCAGAACCTGAAGGAGTCATCAATGAGAGCATGGAATAATAAAACCTTTGTAACCCGCAAACAATTATTCTATTTTATGAACTTACCATGAATGTAAGCATTATAAGGCAACATATACCAACAACAGTGGCGAATGGAAGTAGAAGATGAGTGTTGATATTAAATGGCATTTCATCATTTATCAAAACATAATGACGACATGGAAATCTACAACACAAAGGATCGTTTTTGTTTCTTTCAGCATGTGTTCCAGTGAAATAAGTTAAAACCAGTGTGGGAAACTTACGTTTCATTATACAGGTATTTAGCTTTCAAGAAAGCCCCAGTGTGTTCACCAACAAAAACGGAGGGAATGTTGATTCCAGAGCTATTTACAGCAGACATTGGTTCTGTTGAGCAAAGAGCACATCAACAATTCAAATAAATGGAGAAACATCAAGTCCACATTTTACTTTATGTGAAGAGAGTGTCACCCACCAAGGTCGCTGGAGTTGACATTGTGAACTATGACAGCTTTGTAATGACTTGATTGTGCATTTCTGACTTTGGTCTCATAAGTACATTCACCCCTCATGATGAGTAATATCCAGTTTTCTGTAGTTATGTTGTCTACTTTCGGTGGTGGTTTTACTGGACCACATGCTAAGGCTGGCTCTGCATACACCAGATAGCCCTGCCAGCAAGTAAAGTCGCCAATAAGTAACCGATTGTGGGGTTCAGTAACAGTTCACAGAGTGTATGAAATGACTGAAATTACCTCAAGACCTTGAAGTGGAAGAGAATCACCAAAGCGAGCTTGCAAGTCTCGAAACTCAACTTCAACTTGTTGGAATGGATCCTCACAGTAAACAAGTATGTCAGCCCCAACAATAGTGATGCTTTGACTGAATAACGCTATGCTGCTTAAAACAGCAACCATGTAAAGTGCTGTTATGTGACGTGGAAGGGGGCATGATGGATTCATCCTTAAATCTGTAAAAAATGTACATTTTTGAAAAGCTGCATGGAATTAGTTTTAAACCATTTATCAGAAATAAATTCTTCGAAGATATCTTACATAGAGGCATTTGCCTTACTCTGTGATGATGTTTTACACGTTTGGGTGGGGGGGCTTTAGTCAAATTTAAGGAACAGTATCATCACAAGCCACCACGAATTGGTGGTCTGACAGGAAGAAACTGCACAGCATGACCCTCCACCCCCTCACACTGCATTTAGAATCACTGCAAGAACAGAAAAAGAAAAACATAAATGTTACAATGCAAAATCAAACAGATTGTGGCAAGAGTTTTAAAAAAATTACAATTATTATAATTATTATTTTATCTTGCATGTTGATGTAATTGGCAATGAAGAACAACATTTGGAAGAAGGTTTACAAAAGGCTGTGACAAAGACGACATGAATAAGTCTTGAGGGCCATGCCAATAATCTTGAACGGTACAAAACAAAACTAAAAAGTAAAGGAGCATCATCACATTGATCCAGGTCAAGAGCGGTCAACACTAGGTCAAGTGATAAGATAGAGCTCTCAACCAATACGGATGAAACTTGTGTTATTACCAGCTTCCAGAGTTACTTTGTTATTAATGTTGCATGATAATTAACTAATTGCTGACTGGCAGCAAAAGCTGTCTAGTCTTTTCATAATTTTAACTTAAAGAAATGGAGCTTCAGTGTTTTTGCATTCGATTCAAAGTGGACATTTATGCTTTTTTTTTTACCGATGAAGGCAATCAGAGAACACATTTGAAACTATTGTTGAAGATAGATGTCAAGTAGGCCAAGATGATATTTGCTGAAGATTCTGATTGAACAGAAGTTCAAGTTCATTAATGGCCTTGTGGTTCATGTACCAATGACTCAATCGCACATGCCAACTCTGACGTTTCCGCTGGAATGATTGTTAGGTAATAACACAAATCTTTCAAGTAAACAGAATTTAAGGAATACTTTCTTACAATGTTTAGTAAGTCCTGATAGGTGTGGCAATGATTACAGGGAACATTACTTACTGATGCTCCGCTACACACATTTTACGACTTAACAAGCTAAACTTAACTTACAGAGGTAAATAAAACAGCAAAATAATGTTTAAGACGAAATAGGAATTGTTGCGATACATGGAATAGGATACTGTTGCACGCATTCAATTAATAATTACAAGGACAAAAACACAAAATAACCACTAAGGGCCTGAACTAGTTGCTTTGGGTAGAGGGAAAAAGCGACGTGAGTTAACGTTCGTTAGATTCAAGAAGATAACGCCACACGGGCACGAGCGAGGACAGACGAGTGGATAACACTAATTACACAAAACACGAGAAAACAAAACGAAAATGTGACAGCGGAGCTCTGGCAATAATATTAACGCCTGCGTAGAGAGAGACAGGCCTGGGCACGCAAACAAAAGACTTTAAGACAGCACTGGTAGCAGATGACATGAGAAGGGAGAGTAGACGGGCAGAATAAATAAAACTCACCAGTATTAGAGCAAATGCGGATAAAATAACAATTGCCAATTACACCACACTAAACAAAATCATGCACATACACACAACACACACAAGGAGGCGATGCAGAATGGGGTATGTTCCCAACGCAGAATGCGTACTGCGTCGGTGTCGTACTTGGTCAGTACTTGGTCAAAGCTGCTCTGACAGACCAGACGACATGTGTTTTGTTTGTGCTGTGCTGTTGCTCTCAGTTAGTAGGCGGGTTAGGTGGACTTGAGTGAAATTTCACCTGAGATCAGCCTGTAATGCGTGTTTGATTGCTTGTTGACAGTGTATGGCATGAACGCACAAGCTTTTGGGTACAAGTGCAACTCCAGACCTGGCCGAGAGATGCTGAACCTTCTTTGCTGATGCTAGTTTGCTTCGGAGGAATCATCAATATCAACCTGAGGTGCCCCGTCTGAAGATAATCTGAAGATAAAAATGCCTGAGATCAAAATAATTCCCTTGGGTGCCGGTCAAGACGTCGGCAGGAGTTGCATCCTTCTCAACATTGGAGGCAAGAAGATCATGCTGGACTGCGGCATGCACATGGGCTACCAGGATGAACGGAGGTTCCCTGACTTCTCATACATCACACCTGAAGGCCCTGTCACTGGTTACATTGATGCCATAATTATATCTCATTTCCACTTGGACCACTGTGGAGCTCTGCCATATCTGACTGAAATGGTAGGGTACAATGGGCCCATCTATATGACACATCCAACGAAAGCCATCGCTCCAATTCTCCTGGAAGACATGCGCAAGGTTTCTGTTGAGCGGAAGGGGGAAAGTAATTTTTTCACATCACAAATGATTAAGGACTGCATGAAGAAAGTGATTGCTGTGACTTTGCATCAATCTGTCATGGTTGATAACGAACTAGAGATCAAAGCTTATTATGCTGGCCATGTACTTGGTGCTGCTATGTTCTGGATAAGAGTCGGCAATCAATCTGTTGTATACACAGGAGATTACAACATGACCCCAGATCGCCACCTGGGAGCTGCTTGGATTGACAAGTGTCGTCCTGATGTATTGATAACAGAATCTACCTATGCAACTACTATAAGAGATTCCAAACGTTGCAGGGAAAGAGACTTTTTGAAAAAAGTTCACGAATGTGTTGAAAGAGGAGGCAAAGTATTGATACCTGTTTTTGCATTGGGTCGAGCTCAAGAATTGTGTATTTTGCTAGAGACATACTGGGAACGTATGAATCTAAAAGTCCCCATATACTTTGCTGTTGGTCTCACTGAAAAGGCAAACAACTACTACAAGATGTTTATCACATGGACAAATCAGAAGATTCGCAAGACATTTGTGCAACGCAATATGTTTGACTTCAAACACATCAAACCATTTGACAAAGGATACATAGACAACCCTGGTGCTATGGTAGTGTTTGCTACACCTGGCATGCTGCACGCTGGACTTTCTCTCCAGATATTTAAAAAATGGGCCCCAAATGAAAACAATATGGTGATAATGCCAGGCTTCTGTGTTCAAGGAACTGTTGGTCATAAAATATTAAATGGTTCAAAGAAAGTGGAAATGGAAAATCGTCAATTTGTTGAAGTCAAAATGTCTGTCCAATACATGTCCTTCTCAGCACATGCTGATGCCAAGGGCATAATGCAGCTGATCCAATACTGTGAGCCTCGCAATGTTTTACTTGTTCATGGTGAAGCAGCCAAAATGGAATTTTTGAAGGAAAAAATTAAACAAGAGTTTAAAATTGATTGCTTTATGCCAGCCAATGGAGAAACTTGTGTAATTCAAACACCCCATAAAATTCCTATTGATGTCTCTCTTCCTCTTCTGAAGGCAGAGTCTGTCAAGTACAATGCTCAGCCTCCAGACCCTAAACGACCAAGAATAATCCATGGTGTTCTTGTGATGAAGGACAAGTCCACATGTTTGATGGATGTGGATGAGGCATGTAAAGAAGCAGATATCAGCAGACACATGGTGCGATTTACATCAACAGTAAGGTTGGAAGATTTTGGACCAGCTGCTAGAACCACCGATAAGCTTCTCTTACTTGTCCAGGAAAAGCTCAAAGGCTGGAATGTCCTTTATCAGGAGGGAAATATATCCATCGAGTCTGTTCTAGTTAAAGTGGAGGGCGCAGATGATGAAACCAAAACTGTATATATTTCTTGGACAAATCAGGATGAAGAATTAGGAAGTTTCATACTTGAACTCATTCAAACAATGGGACACTGACAGTGAACCTTAGTGCTAGAGACTTGGAGTCTGTCTCTTTACTGAAGTATTTTTGTCAAGACTGTTATTGCAGAGTGCTTTATGAAGGTGTTTGGAATTGTTACAGTAATAATAATTTTTGTTGATGGCTCAAACCCTATGTCCAGTGAATTTTGAGATATTTCTTACTGTATAGAGATGATTTAGAGGTCCATTTTTCTGTATTTGTGCCAGTTTAGTACGTAATTTTCATGTAAATGTACATTTTTCTAGAAAATTAAATGAATATTAAAAACTAATTTTCATCTGTAAATACATTCAGTGTTGTTTTATTGAATATTCTACATTTACAATTCTGAAGTGAGGGTAGTTAAATAGCATAGAAACAAGATTAAAATCAACAAATGTTATGAAAGTAGAGAATCTACTTCAAGTGCTTGAGGTGCTCCTCATGATCTTTGTGAATCTTGCGTTCAAACTCCTTTCGCTTCTCTTGATTGCCAGGGCTGTTCACTGGAACAAAATACAAGATGCATTAAGGCAGATTCCGACATGTTACAGGATTGGTACATAATTGATTCGACTGAATAGAAATACTTACAGGCATTGTTAAGGAAGATGAAGAATGGAATGGAAAGGCCATAACCAATGACTGACCACTTGTACCGCCAGTTGGCATGGTTGAAATACATCTTGTAGGGGAAATGGGTGAACTTGGCAGCCATGGTGTATGGGTACTCCATGGGCCTTGCTGGGATTTTGTTGGCCGACATCTTGCCTAAAACAAATATATCATAAAAATAAGATCAATAGAGCAAGAACTTTAAGAGAAACGTAAGAATAGTGGGCAATTTTTAACATACGCAAAATTTAAGACTCAGAAACCTTACAGAAAACTAAAGATTGAGACGCAAAAGAAGAGATGACTCGAAGGTATCGAACAAACAAGTAGAGAAAATATCAAAGATATCAAAGGAATTAGGGCTGCAACCAAGGGATAGGCGGCTAGAGAGGTTAGGAACGAACGAATGACACTTGCACGTCTCTTCAGTCATTCATGAGAGATGAGACAGCGGTCGACAAAACTCAGCAGAATGTAAAGCAGTCCAGTACCTGACAAAGGATGCGACAATCGCCAATATTCAAGCTCAAAAGCGTACGTTCAAGTCGATACCAAAAGGAGGGTAATTCGTAACAGAGACGGCAGATACCTGGGTTCAGTTCTTAACGCACATTCAGCCCCACTTAAAAGAAACCCAGCAACTGTGAAATAGAGATCACCCTGACAGCAGATACCCATAAATAACAAGAAAAGTCACCTGAAATTGAATCGGTCGATTGGAGAGACCTTCACGAATGAACCTCAAGCACGAGCAGACAGCTGAGTTCTCCTCACAGCCGAGTGGAGCCAGAGGTCGAAACTTTTCAATTTTGAAGCAAGGCGCTGACATGATGAATTTCTCTTAGAGCAAAGATCAACTTCTCATACATTGTGTACGTCGTACGAAGTTTTTCTGTGGGAATTTTTCGACGCCGAAGTTTTGAACTGTTGATCATGGGTTGTAGCGTTCTGTGTTTATTTTTATAGCTGTGCCTTCTGTGTCAAGTGACAGTGCTGAAATACTTTTGGCCTCCAAATTAAACTAAAGGCTAAACTTCAATAAAATCTTTTGTTATTGGTTGGTTTGCTGGTAGAAGTTCCCACTTTTTAGTCTCTGGCTGCGCGCCAGACTAAGTTTTAATTTACTTTATTCCTTTTTCAGAGGGAGAAACAATGGCTTGGAGTGGCAGCATTAACTGGGATTCCGAGCATGAAAGCACATTTCGGAGCACTCAAGGAAACTTGGAGAGGGCATCGCAGAGTATTGCTAGATCTACTCAAATAGCTGTTGAGACGGAACAAATTGGGTCATTATTTTGTGAAGAATGTGTGGCTTTGGTGTCTACTTCGGTATGGATCTTCACGTAGCTCTCTTTTCTTTACAGAACTGAAGTTGTCAGTGAATTGGGACAGCAGCGTGAAACACTTCTACGAGCTCGTCAGCGAGTTGCAGATACTGATGAAGAACTTAACCGAGCAGATGCAATACTGCGGAAAATGAAATGTGGGGTGTTATCCAATAAGTTGACTTTACTTTTGATAATTTTAATGGAAGGTGGAATTCTTGCCTGTCTTGTGTACCTCAAATTTTTCAAGAAAAGTTAATATCTATTCTTAGTTGGCAAATATTATAAAAAAAATTTATCTAAGTCACTTGTACTTGCTTATTTTCCATCATAGACTATATTTCTATTATTATTTTTATTTATTGCCCATGTTTGCAATTGAACAATCAGTGTTAGAACATGTTCTATGTGCCTCATTTAAATTCATTCAAATTTATAGGATGGCACAATCCTTCCAAGACATTAAAGAGAGTTTTGTACTACTTCTGAAAAGAAATATTAGAAAGCCATTCCAGTTGTTGCTTCATTTGTCAAACAGTTCTGGCAACAGATTTCATTTCTTTGGGGCCCAAACTATTTAATTGTGATATTATCTTGTGATAAGTAGGGAAAGTCCCTCATAAACTGTAAATATATAAAATATAAAAACTTTTTATTCCAGCATGGCGTTTACTTCAAGTAGCATTTGATCTAGAGGTAATTTTTTTCTGAACTTTTTATCTCCTTATTTACAAGTCAACATTTATAGTTTTTTCAGAATCCTTGTAAATCATTCTATCTGAAAATTTGAGCTCTGAAGATGGCTTGAAATGCTCAAAAACACAGATCTGAAAAAAATAGAGAAGAAACACAGTCAAAAAGGTTCTAAAATAGTTTGCAATAATTAGTGATCAAAGTTTCATACCTCATTTGTGCCGCTTTGGAACAGAGGAGCAGGGGCAAACAAGGTTCGAAGTGGTCCAATAGTGGAGTAGCGGCCTATATTAAAGCCATTTACGAAGACAACTCCTTTCCCCCATCCTTGCATATCAAGGAATGTGTCAGTAGGTTGTTCCACATTCAACTTAAACTTCAACATTACTGGCCCATTCCCTGCTACTTGGTTTTGAGTCCAATTCTTCAGTCTGCACAAAAGGAGGAAAATGAATCATATTTATGAAACCATTAAATAGAAGTAACTGATAAAACTTGTAAGCTGTATGTGTATTATAAACTGTCTGCGTTGAGCCTTACCTTCGCACCCATTTTCCTTTGAACTGCAATGCATAAATTGTAAAATCTTGAACTTGGTTGCCATCTACATAGACCTGATTAGATGTAAGCCCTCTGACTTGGTTGAAATCAGTTGATAGCTTCCCATAGTTATTGCGACTCCAATTTTCTATTATAATATCTAGAACTGCAGTAGTGGCTGAACTTAATTTCAAGTCAAGGGTGTTTTTGTCTGAACTGCAACAGTCAACATGATATTCAATATATAAGTACTTTTATCACTTCAAAATAAAAACAAATGGCTTGAGCAAACACCGCTATTCTTACTCTGAGCACCAATATCCAAAACCTTTCAAATCATCAACAGTTTGAAGAGGCGGTGACTTCAGTTCATTGTTCACCATGACCATTGCAGCTCCATTTATCTTTCCATCAATTTTCAGCGTTGAAGTGGGTGTTAGACTTTGATCTTTCTTTCGGTAAACAATGTAACCAAAGTTCTGTCCACTCCCTCCATTAGCTTGATGATATTCCATGTAAATAGGTTGAGGTGAATCTTGTTTGTCTTCAGCATCCTACAATGAGCCGCACGATTATTTTGTTGTTTCATCTTTTTCTCAGAAGTTTGAGAGGGCTGAATAATTATTAACTTACAACTTGATCCAATAAGCTGTTCCAATTCAAGAAATCTGGTGAACTTAAGGGTGTATAAACTTTCTTCGGGGTTTCTACAGGCCGCTCAGGTTTCCTGAAAGTCACCTTTTGGTATTTGGCCAAGAGGGAGACTGTGGCTTCATATTTTTCAGTGTAATCACCAGCCTCTGATAATGGTGCATCATAGTCTACACAAAAAAAGAAAAATAATTAACCTCTTGCCTCGTCAAAACAAAATATATACGCTTCAGAATTTCAGATTCATGTTACCGTAAGAGGAAATATCAGGTAGGTAGAATGGGAACTCCTTATATACATTGCCCCCATTTAGAAATCCAAAGGATGTTCCACCATGGAACATATAGAAATTTACTCCAGATGGGTATTTAAGGATATCTTCAAGAACTTTCTTGAAATCTGCAACATGATGTACATTGCTTTTAATTCTGCCTCAACAATAAAAAATTACAAGTATGGCTGAACATGCACTTACTGTCTAGGGTCATTCCATGATGAGCTTCTCCCCAATGGTCAAACCAACCAGTCCAAAACTCCATCACCATTGCAGCTTTGTTTGGTTGCAATTCCTTCAGGAGGTTCAGTTCGCCAGTTGGATTCTCGTTAAAATTGGCAACTTCAAGCACTGCAAAAATAAAAATTGTAGTTATGCATTATGACTGCAAAAGAGATTTAAGAAAAAATAATGTAGAGAGTAATACCTCCTTCAATTGCACCATACTCTCTCCCTTTGGATGGAGTGTCAGAAGTGAAGAACAATTCCGCAAGTCCTGCTTTTTCAAACATTGCTTTAATATCTCGTAAGTGCTGTTTGTCAGTATCCTTGTTTGGTTCTTTAGTGTTTCCATATTCATTTTCTACCTGGAAAAAGAAAACATATTTTTAAATGCCAATGTTTCATCAACTTATTCTACAAAAAAAGAATACCAACCTGGAAGGCAATAATAGGTCCTTGTCCAGTAGAAAATTGCAAATTTTTAAGAATTGGAAGAAGCACATCAAAGAACCTCTGCACTCTCTCTGTATATTTTGGGTCGCTGGTTCTCACTTTAATTGATGGGATTTTCTGAAGCCAGCTGGATGAAACACAAACAGGTGAGCACCAGCCATAGACGAATTCTTGCCGACTAAAATATTCAATCAAATATGTCTTTCTTACCTCGGCAATCCCCCAAACTCCCATTCAGCACAAATGTAAGGTCCAGGACGCAAAATTGCGAGAAGATCTTCTTCTTGAGCAATCTTCAAGAACGTTCTGATGTCTAAGAAAGGAGACATGTCTTCACCGCCGTTTCCAAAATCAAAGACCCCATCATAAGGCTCATGAAGATTCCATGGCACATATCTGCATGCAATTAGAACGATGTATCAATGAATGCATCCAGTGTATTCTAAAAGGCATTTTTTGAAAGTGCAGTGGTGCTTCCCCCGCACCCACCCTTAGCTTACGTCTCGACTGCGACGAATCCCGCGGCCCTCAGCTTGCGGAGGCGGTCCCTCCAGTACTGGGGGTGGACTCGGAAGTAATGAATGGACCCGCTGTGGAGTGAGATGACCTTCTTGTTGAGAGTGAAGTCCACCGTGCCGGCCTTCAGTCCCTCCGTGATACCCCCGGCAGTGTAGTACTCGTACACACTGGGATCTGTGACAAACAGAAAAGAGCATTTGAGTTCGAGTAGCGGCAACCATTTTCCAGACGAACCAGATAATTCAAAATGCACAAAAGTAAACAACACAAAGCCCGATTGGTCCATTTATTGGAATGTCGTTAATACCCAGAGTGCCGGATGACATCGTGACCAGTGACTTGACTGACAGCTGCGAAGTAACTATGATTGCTGACTGACTCGGATGATGGCTCCCGAGTTCCGAGCTCACCGCCCGGTACTTTTTTCAGGTGTTGTTCTGTACTAGTTGCTGTGGCGCGTGACTTGATGGCGATCTCGTCTAACCTAACCTGTGCCGGCCCGAATGCCCGAATGGAAAGGAAGTTCGGGTAGGTTCGGGCCTTTCGTCCCGAACCCGAACGAAGTCATCATGGCGCACGATTCACCCGGCGCTACGCCCTGCACGAGAGACTCTCGCCGCAGGGGCGAGGTAGGCCACCATTCTCGCAACGCTGTGTAACGGGGCGGGTTGGCAGGCGCTAAGCGCGTAGAGCGATTGCGATTAACGGCTGGACCACAAGTGATCGTCTTCCTTTCGGGCCCGCCCCGCCATGTCGGTGATTCACCAGCACATGACGGGTCGTCCCTACCGAGAGTAGTGGTTTTCTCGGTAGACCTGGTTCATACGCCCACAGAATCTCCTACATCCCAAACGGGTAATGTAGGGCTCTATAAGTGCGAAGTCACCGCTTCCACGTCACAGCCGCTAATTTACGACGATCTAGGCTGGCCTCAAGGGAAAGTTTGTTAACCCACGGAGTACTGAGCTAATTTCTACGAACGGCATCGCTTATAGGATGTGGCGTGGTGACATGCGGGATATAACCATATGAGACTCACATCACAACGTGATCGAAGCAGTTTGCTTTATTGTTTTCGGCAGTGAATTACATTTTAGCGTACTGCTAGTTACCTTGGGTATGAGGTTTGTCTTTTATGACGAGAGGTCCGAGGACATAGCCCCCCACGACGAACGCGACCACAATGAGTCCGAACGCAGCAATGCAGAAGGCCCATCGGATCAAGCTGGAAAGAAAAAGAATATCATTGCAGGTGCCTTCCGCCACAGTGCCTTGTCTCTGAGCTGCGAATCGAAATAGAAAGATCACAGGGAGACCCATCCTTGCCCTCAGGCAACCGCACTATACTCCGCCATAAAGCTCTAAGGGCTGATTTGGAAACCCAAAAGAAGGAAATATAGGCTTCGCCGCTTACCTCTGCCTTTCCTGGGGCATCGTGCATGGACACGAACTAACTGAAGGCCAGCGCGAGGGTTCCCTCCCGTTCCCTCACGCCTCCTCGTTGGCGATTCTCTCCCCCAAACATGTCCACCACCACATTCCCACAACGGAAAACAAAGCTCTTTGGCAGGGGTCAAAGGCCGACACTCATAAAACGATAAACTTTTCGAGGGGACGCAAGCACATGTGCTGTCTCACACACACAAACCCTCTCTTTTCCCTAACGTGGGCTGCGTAGGTCACGTTTGGTCCGAGGCAATTTTCACTGTGGCACTTCCACCTCCACTGAACTCAATCCTTCCTGACTTTTGGGGGGAGAGGGTGTCTGTTGACGTGATAACCGTACCTGCAGGCGCAGCTGCAAAGGCTGCACATGTTGACTCAGTCTTGGAACAACTCCACTGTTGACGGACGCACTTCCGAGCTCCGCTCTGTGCTGGAATGCTGGGACGTGCTGGCTGCGCAGCACCAACTTGTTCTCGCCGAACCTCCGGACTTGGACGCGGCCCGGGTACTCTCTGGGCACTCGCTGCTCGGTCGAAAGCTCGCTCCTTATCTGGCTCAAGTCCAAAACAGCGTTATTCGAAAAGGATCATCCCTGCCATAAGTTAGGGAGCGACAAAGCGTGCGCACTCACCCGTTATCACGCTTTAATCGCCCGCAATCGAACAGAACTGCCTAGCTTCGCGGTTCGCGTGGAGGCGGGGCCAGGCAAAACAGGATGCGATAGGCGCACCTGAGATTAGATGAGGTGCAGGTTTTGGTGTTGCCTAGGACGCGCGTGCGAGAGCGCGGCGCGGATTCGAACCTCGCAACTCTCATGCCGAAGCCGCCGGGGGCCGCGTCGAGCGACGCAACGAGTCAGCGGCATGCTTGACGTGGACTGAGTTTGTCTGCCCGTGATGGGTTTCCAGAGATGCCGCTCACTGCGGCCGTCGGTCTCTCTCGCTCTCGCACTGTACGGGAAGTCCCATGGGCGCGCGAGGGAGTACCAGCACTCGGGGAAGGTGCCACCGACACCGAGGTGTCACGGTGTCACTGGCGACGGTTGAGGTGCCAAGGCCGGAATGGCCGGATAGGTCGGATGCCCGACGGCTTGCCCGACGGCGTGGGCTGAAAGTGGAGCAAGGGCAAGGCAGTCGTTATCAACAGGCGGGTACGAGGTATCCCGCAGGTTGCCTACCTGCAGGAAAAATTATGGAGCGAGCAAGGACGAGCATCGGATTACTTACCGGAGTCTTCGTGTCGGAACACATGGTAGGCGAGCGGTCCGACGATTCCGGCAACTGAGGGGCGTACTCAAGCGCCCCCGGTTGACATGGTTGAGAGAGCACGCCATCGACATCATGGACGATCACTAGGGCAGGTGCGACAGGTTTCCAGGGTTCGACTAGCGGGGCGGGGGCGATTTGCGCGGGAGGAACACACAGAAATTCAGGTGCTGGCAACAATTTGTACCCGCCCAAGGTGGTGGGCATGGGTCTGAGCACTCTAACTGCGGGGCCAGGGCCTGGATGTTCTTGAGGGGGTCTCACGTTGGGCTGGACTTGTGGGGCGGGGGCGATTCGCACGGGACGAGCGTGGAGAAACTCCGGTGCAGGCATCAATTTGTACTTGGGGGTGGGCGGGGGTCTGGGCACACTAGCAGGGTTTGGTTGTGATTCAGGGTGTCTTGCATAAGGATGGTCGATCAAGATGTCCCTCAACTTAGGTCGCTTCGCAGCAGGTACAAAGTCTTGAAACTTCTTCGATGGGTTGAAAATGGATGGTACGGCATCTTTTTGAAGGCCATAACCACGAAAATCAGATTTCTTAAAGTGCGCCTGCCAAATGCACCATATATCAGTCAAATGCAACACACAACTGGCATACGTCATTGACTTGGTCATCATATTCACCTCACAAATCCGATAATTTTCCGGAGCCCCTTTGGGTCCAAGGCCCCATTCTTGGCCTCGGCCCCTTAATTCCCTACTTTGGGGCCATAGCGCTGCGGCAGGGACATTCGACTACTGTTGGGGGAAATTTTGAACTTGGAACTTTCAAACAGGTTTGGGAATGATTTGATCGTGTGACCAAAATTTCGAAATGTTTCCCATTTTAATTTTGGGCCTAAATTGACCCACACATGATTCACGGGTTTTCCCAAGCCGGGTTTGGGGGTGGCCCGCAAAGTTTTCTCGACGACCTTTTTTCTTGATTATTATTGCGTTTTTGTGTCACGATCATGTAACCAAAGGCTTAGAATTTCAATGTTACTTCTTCTAAAAGGTAAAACTTTTTTTGCGCCCCTTTTCACTTTTGTACGCAAGAAGTAAAAATTAATGCCCCCTTTTGAAAAATTTAATTAATTTAAAAAACCCGTCTTCACTTTCCCCCTTACAGTTCATAAAAAATGACCTCGCAAATCTTTTTAAACTGTGATAAAAAGGGCATGCGGAACGATTTGTTAGATTAAAGAAAAAAATTTTTTAAACTTTTTTTTTCACTTTTTTGCTAAAAAAACAAAAAAAAGGAGCTAAAAAAATTTTTTCACTAATTGTTAAAGAAGAAGTACAAAGTTCTAATAAAACATTAGGAAAATGTCGGAAAAAAACACGTCAATCAAAAATTTCAAAAAACGTTTGATGTCAAAAGCTTTAGTTGGACCACCCCCCCCCTTTTGGGCAAAAAGTAGTAAACATGTCCTGTCAATTTTGGGCCCCAATTTTTAAACAGGGAAGCATCTCTTTGAAATTTGGGCAACGGATAAAAATTCACTTCCCAAATTGGATATTTTCCAAAGTTAAAAATTGCCATATCAGAGTTCGCAAGTGATCCCATCGCCGTTTTCCAGGGAATGAATAGCCTGTTTCCCAAAGGTCCAGCATTTTTGCTTTTTTCGGAAACCTGAAGGCCCTATAACCTCGATTATATGAGTTTCGGCAGTTGGAGACGGCGCAAATCGTCATTCTGAAAGGAACAAACTTGAAAACGTAAAGCTGCCCATTTCGAAAACGTAAGGGTTAGAAATACTGTCCAAAACTTACCTGCTAAATACTGAAACTAACGCGTAACAAATAAGAAATTATCACAAACTGCACCGAACTGCAGAAACCACTACTGCACGACCACAACCCCGGGCCCAGGCCAATGGTAAGCTGAGATTGGTCCACGTGATGTGATGCACCCCACGAGCCAATGAGAGGGGGAGAGGAAGAGGGAGTTGTAGTTGTTGTGCGGCGAAGCGACTCTTGCCTCATGAGTTAAGGTTAAGTCTCAGTACTCAATATTTTGATTTGCAGGAAATTTGACTTGTTCGTGGAGACACTGTCCAAAAATGACACGAACTGATCTCTAACTTTTCCTTTATGGAACTAGCCAATTTTTAAGATTCTTCAATCCTTCTCTCGAGTGAACGCAACCATGGCAAAAAGACGAAATCTGAAAAAGTCAGGCATAAAAGTGAGTCCAACTCTTTTTCCTTTTACACTGAAGGGAATGCAATGATGCTTGAAACCCTATGTCCCATTGTAAATTTATGTCGTCAAAATAGTCATCCCAGAAGTTATTGATTTTAACTTCACTTAATATCTTTTTAAGTGCTGTATTATTTTTCTTCTTTTGTGTATGAAATTCCCCACAAAAATCACCAGTTTATGTTTTTTTTCTGAACGTTTCTTTTCTTGCTTCCTTTCTACCTTTAATTCATGTTTTAATTAAGTCATGTTCATTTATTTAGTGTATGCCAGGATCCTGTTTTCCATTCTAACATTTTTCTTCGCTCTTAATTCCTTGCATAGATTGATGAATCATTGGCTAATCCTGATTGCCGCTGTTTCATTTGTGACAAACATGTCGACAACAACGGAATCCAAATAATTTTAGGACGAACACCCTACTCAAATGTTAGTCTCCCAGCTAAAATTGGCCAGCTTATTGGAGACAGTTTAATGGTCGTTGTTGGGGTATCAGACACTATGTGCGCCAGTTGTGCTTCCCTGATTAGTCACCTGGACAAGCTTGAAACAGATGCCCGTTCGGTGAAAAAGACACTAATGGGTTACATCGCAGCAAAATATCAACTTAACCATCAAGGTATTTAATATTTGTTGTACCTCAATCCTGAGTAAGTGATTCTTTCATATCTTTTATGTATGTTTTCAGAAATATGTGATCGAATAGATATTACTGAAGCAGATCCTGTAGCTCACAAGGTGATGTTTGTTTTATTTTTTAGTGGTAGTGCTTTTGCTCAATGCATCTCCTTTGTTCCTCTCAATAAGTTTTCTGCACTTTCCAGGAAGCCTCAAATCTCAAATCTGCAAGTAGTCAATCTACTGGGCAAATGCAGAGAGAAGGTAGTAGAAAGAAATCTCGCCAAGTCAGCTTACTTGTCTCAAATAGCAAGAACCGCAAAGTGACCTCACTTCACTGTCTCAACTGTAACTTCACAACAACGGACAAAGATGCATTTCAGATTCATTCTGCTTTATGTGTGAAACAAGTAAATCAATGTTTACATTGTGGCCATTCGTGCAGTCCTTGTGACCAGGTTTATTCCTTCACTGGAACTTGCAAAGTTTGTTCCCTAATTTATGGTTCAGAGGATGAATACTCTAATCATATGTCTATACATATTATCAGTGATGATAGATGTGCTGCATGTGGTGTCACCTGTTCAGATAAAAATAACTTGGTTAGTCACATTCTGAATCATGGTGAACAGTCATTTATGTGCTCTGCGTGTCCTACTACATTCAACCTTAAAAGCAATTTGAATGATCACATGGAAAGTCATATGATGCCCGATAAGTGCCTTAAATGCTCAATTGACTTTGTCTCTCAAGCCAAGCAGTTCACAGCGAGTGAATTTACCTTAGCCTGCCCGGATGAAGCTCATCAATCAGTTCAAGATAAGAGAAAGAATGTTAATGAGTACATGGAATCACTAATGAGGGTTGATAATTTTGATTCGGACAGTGGCATAGAGTTTCATTCTTGTCCAAGTTGTGGATTGACATTCCTCAACAAAATGTTGTTTTCTGAGCACATGAAAATGCACAATGAAAGTCAAGACCAGGTTATCATCAGCGAGGCACATGAAGAAGCCCTTCAAAGTGCAACTGTATCGGTGGCTGGGGATTGTTCTATTGATGATGAATTGGAGGACTTATTTGAAAAGCTACATGCAGAAACAACAAAGTCCTCCGTTGATAATAGTTGTAGCTTAAGTGATCAATTGATGAATGCACAGCATCATACAGAATTATCTATGCCTTTGAAAGAAGAGATGATGACACTGTGCCCAACAGTGGCTGCTGTTGAAGTTTCCCAGCCTCCCTGCAAATTAGTTCTCAAAAATCAGAATGTTGATAGCACTGACCACATTGAGACAGACAAAAATAAGCTTGAGCCTTCCTTTGATATGTCTCTCCTGGAGAAAGAAAACTCGAGCAACAGTGTTTTGCCTGAAGCAATGTTTGATGCGACTCAACACCAAACCTTTATTTATATTAGCAGCAACGAGGATGGTCTTACAGATTGTGATTCGCTGGTAATTTTTGATATTTTTTTAAAATTTTAATTTAAGTTTTAATCTTAAAAAAAGATAGTTGTAAGTAGTTATAGCCATCTCAGTACTGTAAATACTTGTTTCTCTGTTTCTAGGGAAACCTGGTGCTGCACAAAGCCACAATTGATCCAGAGAGTGGGAATATTCATCTGTTGCCGTTTATTGCCAGTGATGAAGATTCTGCATCCCAGCTAATCTCTCCTCTTTTGTCCAACCCTGAAACATTTCGAAGTTTAATTCAAGATCCCTGTGAAGGAGAACTAGCTCAGGTTAAGGACAAACAGAATTTAAACAGTTCTAAAAGCAATGATGAATTCTCATGCAACCATTGTAGTTTCCAAACTTCAATTGAACTTGTATTGAAGCGACATCTCAAAATACATCAAAGTAATTTGGTGCAAAAGTGTTCTATTTGCAATAGGGCGTTTTCATCCACTCAAAGGCTTCTCAGTCATTTAGACTTGCGTCATAAAAGTAGTGGTCCCATCACTTGTCCCTTCTGCCTGGAAGAATTCTCCAGCTCTGCTTTTCTAAGAAATCATATGAATGATAAGCATCCGGTTGGGAAGCAGAACTTTTCATGTCGATTCTGCTCTAAGAAACTTCCAACCAGGAAGGAATGCACCATCCATGAAGAAAGTCACTCTGAAATTTTTAAATACCAATGTAAAACTTGTGCAAAAAAATTTACAACTCAAGATGATCTTGATGACCATGTAAAATGGGATCATGAAAAAGTGGGCCAGTGTAGATATTGTGGCAAACAAATTGATAAACCTAAGGCTCTGAAAAATCATGAGCTTCGTCACATGCAAGAATCTAACCATCACGAATGTGTTGAATGTAAGAGAGTTTTCAAAACCAAAACTGGATTAAGACACCATGCTGCATCACATACTGGACAATTTAAATATTGCTGTGATTTTTGTGGAAGAGGGTAAGTTACCATATACTATTACACTGAAATATTTAAATTGTATTTAATTTAAATATTTGATTTATCTTAATTAATCCAGATTTATGTCTCGAATGATGTTGGAGGAGCACCGTAGTTGTCACACGAAAGAAGAAAGATATATTTGCGATGTTTGTGGCCAAAAGTTTACTTTCCAGAGCACATATTGGATTCACAGGAAGTGGCATGAAAATCCGTATCCTTATAAGTGTAACTATTGTGGCCGTTTCTTCAAGTGAGATATATTTTGCACCTATGATAACAATGATTAGTTTTACAATATTATCCTCATCTTAATTATATGTTGGTTTTAGGCATTCATCTTTACTTGCTGTTCACAAGCGGAAGCATACTGGTGAGCGGCCTTACAAATGTCCACATTGCCCATTAACTTTCCCTGTTAGTGGAACTCTGAAGAGACATATTATCTTACACACTGGTGTCTACCCTTTTAATTGTGATGTTTGTAAACGAGGGTTTACTGCTAGGCATAAGTACTCTTCTCATTTAGAAAAGGTAGGTCAATGTCTTTTGCAGGAACAAGCGTAATTCTTTCAATAGATATGTTCAGTGCTTATTATTCTGAATGCAGGTTCATGGCATTGAAGACCTTGTCAATGAGAAACTCTCTCCAAATATGTCTAAAGTAGAAGCTTTGGATGTTACTGAAGATGGTAGCATCCCTGAAAGTATTAAAGACTGGAACCTTGGTGGTATTGTATCATCTGAAGAAAGCAATGTTCCAGCTGTGACTGAATCATCAGTGGTCGACAGCAGAGGTCCCTTAATAAATGATGAAAGTCTACCCTCAAGAGTTGTCGAGATTGTACTCAATGATTCTCATCAAGCTGTGGCAACAGTCACGCTTGGTGGAACTGAATCGGTCTTACCTGAAAATTGGTACGAGTGAAAATTGTCAGTATTGGTAACCAATATTATAGTGTAATCTGTCTCCTCTCCCCCAAGTAGTGCACATCAATGCTTTAGTGGTATTTTTTGTTGGGTGCTAAGAAACCAAGATGTTTGAATTCCTAGTCAATTGTGATCTGTTAGTCTGATGAAACATAATCTGAAACACGAGTAGTTTGCATGAGTTAAAATTGTGAGAGATGCTCGATTGTCAATGCTAGTCAAAACTCAGTTTTGCATATTGAATTGCAAAGTTTATGTCCTTACATCATATCATTAGGAATTGTAGAACACACTTAAAATAAAAATGTATTTGGACTGTTTATTTCTATTTCTTTTTCTTTTGCCTTTGGTTTCTAGAGCTCAAATTCAAATTAATGTATAAGAAACAAACACAGTATGTAAGTAACTACAGTACCTTCTGCCAAGGTAAGACAAAGTTAAAATCTACATATTACACTTTTTAAAAAGATAACAGACTGATATCATTTCCAGTTATTACACAAACAAATATCCTGTACCCTACAATCACAGCATTTAGTACAAAAACTGACAAATCAATAAACAACTCACATATTAAAATTTGCAGCAAATCCAAAAGTAGGACACAATAGAATGGTTCTTCAAATGCCCTACTTTTGGTTTTGCTTAAAAATCACCCTTAATAAAATAAAAAAGGTACTATAAAAATTTCCAAATTATAATTAATCTAACATTTTACTGTTATTGTGTTGGCAAAGGGAGCTCATCAGTGGTATCTAAGATAGAGGAGCCAGGTTTTGATCTACAAAAAGGACAATGGCCATTCTGGAGCATTTGCAGCTCAAAGTCATCCACATGAAACATCTAAAACAAAAAAGAACATGTAAAAAATTTTGCTTCAGGAAGAAACAAACAGTGGTGAATTTTGCTTGCCCATAACTTTATTCATATTTACCTTAAAGCAAGAAGGACACTGGGATATTTGTAATTCTGGCAACAGATTCCTATAAAATTTGTAGCGCAATGGAGGTGGCCAACAAGCAATTATCACAGTGCTCGAGTCCATAGCTTCTAACGTTGATTTATTAACAACAACTGGGCTGACATCATCACTGCCACTCTGCAAAGGAAGATAATCAATGAAATGCACTTCATATGACATTCTGAGAATAGAAAAAGCAAAATTACCTCAAAATTAACTAGCCTTGCAGTGAAAGGATCAGGCTTTAACTCATCATGCTGTATTTGCAATGTCTGGTATCCATTGTTGGAACTACTTGTCCACTGCTTTTCTCCTGATTCGACTGGAGCTTCAATTAATCTTACAGCTTCATCATCAGATATTCCTTGTTCCAATTCAAACTCTACCAAAGGCAAAACCTCAAAGGACACAAACGAATGAACGAAAGGTTGTCCACAGTTAGAGCAACGGTTGCCACTGCGACCAACTAGGAGTGGGTTGTAAGAAGAGCAACGGTAGCACATGGGCTGCAATTCCTCTGCATCGTGGAAAGGCTTTGAACGGACCATTAGAGCAGATACATTCACATATTCCTGAAATCTCGGAGGAATGCGCAAAGACTGCATTTTATCTAGAACTTGTCTTGCCAACTTGTAAGCACCAAGAGCCCGTGCTTGCTTGGATAGTGTGTACAGCACAGCAAATTGGGAGACACCCTTTGGTTGTACTTGTTTCATTTCTAACATTAAGAATAGAGCAATGTTAAACAGAGCTTCAGGCATGTATGAAGTAAATGGTTCATCCAAATAGCGCTGTATGGTATGGTATGCATAGTACACGGAGGCATAACTGCTATGTTCTTGGAATTTTTTTAACATTTCTTCACGAATATCTTCCCTTTGCCTCGCAATATCGAGACATTGTCTGGACAGAACCCAATAATAGAATCCTGCATCTTGAAATCGTGATTCATTAACAGCGTTTTCGGTGAGCTGGTGTAGGACTTTGAATGCTTCTTCTGGACGGCCTGCTTTGTGAAAGGCTTTTTGAGCATCAGCAAATCTATCATTTTCAGCAAGCCATTGAGCGTATGGCACAAACACCAGGTGTCTGAATTCTGGGTGTCTCTCTGCTAGCAAGAATGCTTCTTTCCAATTATTTGCTTCAACATGTAGCTGGACTATTGCACGTTCTTCACCTAACTTGCGGAACATGTCAGTAGCATGAGAGAGGTGTCCAAGTCGCCTGAGCTGCTCAGCAACTAATGCCAAACCAGTGCGGTCAGCCTTGTCCAAACGCCGGCCCACATCTACCAGCCTGTAAAACAAAGTTAAAATAACTTTTGATAATAAAACTAAAACATATAGGAGAAAATAATTTTGCTAATAATTTAAGGACGCCAAGCCCTGAAGAAAAATAATTTTACTAACATATCAACCCATCCATTGTCACCGATGATTTCAATGGCTTTATGTGTATCACCAGCAGAAAGGTACATTTCAGCAGCAGCTCTTGGCTCATTGATATTTCGAGCCCAATCAGCCTTCTTCCTTATCAAAGCTTTCCTATCAATACTGTCCCCAGAACCCAGGAACTCCTATAAATCAAGAAAAAATAAGATGAAACAGAAGGATAGAAATGAATTCAAGCCCAAACTGCAAGAAGCACATTGCTCACCTGAGCCAGATCAAACATTCTTAAATCAGTGTACATGTTCAGAGCCCGGTGCTCTTGTCCCCCTCTTTGATACAATCTTGCAGCCTCTTTAAATCTGCCTCGATACGCCAGTATATCAGCTACAAGTAGATCTCTATCCTTTTCTCCTTTCCGTTGTCTATCCAAAAACTCATTTATCAGTTGAAGATATTTTAAGTCTTTAATTCGGATGAATGCTTGTCTAGCAACTTCAAAGTCCAGTGCCTCAAGAGCTGAATGAGCTAATGCTCGCCAATCTCCATCAGTGACACCCAAACAAGCCACATGATAGGCATCACTGAACATCTTATTTTCCAAGTATTGATACATGGGTGCAGACAAAGGCACCTCAATTGTCGACATTGTGGACACATTGAGACAAAATATTTTTGATCCACACAGTCCAACAACAAAGCCCTGAAAAAACAGCAAGCATTAATAATAGCAGTAAATTACAAGCACAAAACCATCATTTTATTTTTACCATAAGTTTTTGCTGGTGTACAGGAAAATTGCTAGCTTTGATACTCAGCATGTTATTTCCAGAAAAACAGAGCATGTCCTCACAGTGTGAGTTCCATGCCACACTGCTAGCATTTGGTTCCTGATACAGCAACTGATTAGCCTTCAGGTCATACACTGAACAAGCCCCATTCTCATCAACGACAGCCAACTTTCCGCGAGAAGCACTGAGGTCTAGGCACCTCACTCCCGCAGTTACTTTTAAAACACTAACAGGAAAAGCATTATCCAAATAAATTTTCCAAATCTGCAAGAAAAACCAGAAAAAAAATTTAACAGTCGCAGAAAATTATTTTTAAATCAACTCTAATAAGGAAAATGACAGCCAAGTACTTGCCTGGCCACTTTTTAAACCCAATAGCAGTCCTTCTCTACCAGCAGGACCTCCTACAAGCTTAATGTAGCGAATGGGTGAATCCATTAACCATTCTCTCTCTTTCTGGCCAGCAAATGTGAGACTCTGCAACTTCTTCTCCTGCAAACAAAAAAGGAAAGTAACTCTTGTCTTATGTTGGGGTGTTATCAAAGTTAGAAACAGAATTGAAATACATTCACCTGACACAAAACAAGGTGATTTGTGCACACAACGAGAAGGTTACAGTCAAGCTTGCTGTTTATTTTATCTTTTACTCTGTAGTGCATGCTAGTAGCATCTCCAGAATAGAGCTCATAAATCACAACCCGCTCAGGAAGTTGAACCTAAAGGAGAAATTTTACAGTAGTTTGCCTACAGGTAGCAAAAAAATATCTAGTTTACAAAATGTATCAATTACCGCAAGTCTATGTTTGTAGATAGCTATCTTCTTTATTAGGTCTCTGCATTTTATGCGTACTTTTTGCTCAGTTAATAGGTGCTGTATTATCACATCAGTCATGTTCTCCCTAATTTAATTTTTTTCAAATTAAAACAAAAATTATGGCATTACTAAAATGGTTGAGTCTGCAGCAACAAATAAAGTGGAGGCTAAAATCAAACTTGCATACCTGTAGGCATATCTTTCCTTGTACAAACTGTGCACTGTGCTGAAGACAAGTTGCAAACATGCTATAGTTCCATCCTGACAACCCATAGCCTGTGAAAAAGTAAGGACATATTTTGTAAAAGGGGAGAAAAGAGGTTTGATTATAAATGAAATCAAATGAACCACTCACAACGTAGGAAAAATCTGGTCGTGCAGCACAGCACCAAACCCATGATTGTTGTTGGTCACCCACAGTCCCGAGACGTATTCCTTCACGAGTAAGGAGGACACAGCTCTTGTTTGAGCCAGACACAAGAATATACTCTCCTTTACTCATATAACTTACACAAAGTGGATCAAAACCCAAATTGCGCTCTTTATACACCTGTAAGAAATTGCCAGGTAAAAATTTTCAAGGGGAAAATAAATGCATAGCAGATTAAATTATTACTTACTGGTTTTCCCCCTAAAGTGTAGAATGAAAGTGTCTGAGACCAATCAGCCACACAAAGAATGTCAAAATTTTCATCCCTAGAAACAAAACACCAATGACCATAATTTGTAATAAATTAAGAACACAAGACACAGTGAACATTAAAAATACCTTGATGGACTCCAAGCTAGAGCCCACACAGGAGATGTTGATCCACCAGGTCTCTCAATGCGAACTTTCTCTTCACCCAACTAAAGAAACAAAAAACAAATTGCTTAATTACTGCTATAGGAAGAGAGGTGTAAATCAAAATGCACTGCCACACAAGATTACCTTGTTGCGAATGGAGACACAGCCATTGGCAAGACCAAGTGCAAGGTACTGCCCATCATTAGTCCAACCACAACAGTTAATACGAGCTCCAGGTTTATATTTTTGACAAGCTTTTTGATCCTCAATTAAAAATCCAAAGTCAGTAATAGCACAGCTAGCCAGATGATTGGTTAAAGGATTGAAAGCCAGGCATTGGATTGCATCCCCATGACTAAACAAAAGTTTTATAAAAATATTAATTCCAATTTTTGCAAAGGAGCAAGAGTGAACATCATAGTTACCAAATGATGAGAACTTACGTATATTTTAAAACACCTTCTAACTTATTGTTCCAAATTATTACAGTCTTATCCGATCCACCAGAAGCAAAACGCTTTCCATCACGGGCGTAACACACACAATAAACTGTGTCCTTGTGACCTGCAAAGATACCAAGACTCCTGTAGCACACATTTCACACTCAAGACACAAAACCAGTAGGTAAGGACCAACTAATTGTTGAAATATACCTTTTAGAGGCTGAATTAATGAACCATCTGTTGTGTCATACACTAGTACTCGCTGTCCAGCAGCAACTACAAGCTGTGAACCATCAGGATTGAAGCAAAGGTCATAGATGCTGCAAAAAGAAAACAGAAAGAGAGGAGTGACGACGTTTAAAATATAACTATTAGTTACATTGATCGCAATTTCAGAAAAACTCCTGACTTTCTCGCTGTACTTTGATGAAAATTTCAACAAATATTTCAGCTCAAGAAAAAATTCTGTACGGAGGTGAGAACTAGTGATTTTATTTCAAATACATAGACCACAGATACTTTCTTAGCTAAACTTCAGATTAAACAGCACTACGCCGGCGCTATGACAGGTGCAAGACAGGTGCAATGGTGGGAAAAGGTAACCCAACTAATCATCCGCAGAAGTACCGACGTCTTTTCTCACCATTGTTCGACTTTGTCCCTGTCATGTACTTTATCAACCCAGGCGGGTATCGTCCGCATCTCGAAGCGGGTCCAGGCCTGCAGATAAACAACGCAATGATGTGTTTTGGAATGCTGGTTTGTTGTTGTCGACTGTTGTCAGGGAAACCGTTTGGCGGAAGCGGCGCGTCGGAGGCGTCTGCGCAATGGAGCCACGTGACACCTCCTGGGCGCCAGTTTCAAACGCGCCGCGCTCCGTGCACACTCCGTCGTGTCGAGCATTCTCAATCTGCAACAGGATTATGCCGCAACTCCAGTGGCCTCGTCTACCTTTCGTTAGGCCGAGCACACATTGTTTCGATTGGTAGCCATCGGCTGTGGAGACACCGAGAGCATGTCGTCTACGCCCACCACACCCCACCCTGCGTTGGGGTCTCTGCCACGCACCCCAGGAGCGAACTCTTTTCCCCCGTGTAGCCATCATCGCGGACGTGCTAATGCTATTCCTTCCACGTGCTGGAGGCCGCGCGTGTCCTTCACGGCGGTCGGCGCGGCGTGGCGCGGCGTGGCACCATATTGCAGGATGTTGGCAGGGCGCGGAGCACGGCCTGGGCCCCACCGGGCCGGGAGGCCGGGCTAGCAGGCGGGCCAGGATAATTACCCCGCGCCTCTCATTCCGAACAGCGCTTTCGTCCCTCTGTCTCTCTCGCACTCGTGGGGGCGCCCCAACAGGATCCGAGAGAGACAGAGAGAGACATGCACTGTTCGGAGTGAGCCCGCTGTCGGAGCGCCGCACCGCGTCGTTGGCACCGCGTCGTCAGCGGCCCCGCCAATGTTCGCCGCGGGGGTCCGCGGGTCAGCTCGTCAGTTCGCAACATGAGGCCGGCGACGACGACGCTCCTGCTGGCCTGCGGCCTGGCCGGCGCGGTGCTCCTCGGGGGCCTGGGGCCGGCGGCGGAGGCCCGCTCCATGACTTCGGACGCCATGGCCTCGGACACCGTGGTCGGCCTGCACGAGGACTTCAAGGGCCAGGCGCTGGCCGCGGCACCCCCTCCCGCCGCGGCGGCCGCGGTGGCGGCCGAGGTGGAAGCCTCAGGTCAGTGGGGGGGGGGGTTTACTTTTGAATTTTATTTAAGAGGTTTGTGGTGCGGAGGTCCGCGGTCGGTTCCAATTCGGCGGTGAAAAGAGCAGGTCGCAGGCAGTCGCAGGTGTTCCATCGTTTCGTCGCTCTCTCTGTCGAACTCATACCGTTAGGGCGCGAGAGGGACAGAGCGATGAATCGATCCTGCGGCATCATTCGGCCAGGCATTTGCTGTGCGGTCCCACAATTTCGGGTTCTCCCGCTGCGGCCGCGGCCCCTTGCTGCCTCTTCCAAGCGTCGGCGCCTGCGAAGCCCTGCCAGGCAACAAGTCCGCGTCGGTGCACAGCGGGCTGCCGGCCGGCGCCTGACAACCCCGCGCGTGCCTTTCGCCCGCCACAACTTTTCGTGTTATCTGCGAGCCACCATAACTCCAAAGAACTTTGCCGTTGCGGTCACGACGCTGCTGACCTAACGGAGTTTGCGGTTCGCAGGAAAACTGTTCCGTCATGTAGGGACGCACGAATTTTATCGCGTCCACGGTCACGCTTCCACGCCTCACGACACCCTGTCGAATGGAGTCATATAGTTATATAGTTCCCCAGTGCGATAAACAGACGTCATCCACATTTTTTTCAGAACACCCGTTTAAGGCAGTCACGAGTTGACGCTGGGAATACAGAAATGTGACGTCACGTTCGTTTGGACATCATGTCCCTTACGCCTGAACGTGAATACAAACGCTGGTGACGTCACGTTGCTAGACGTCCAGTGAAGAGTGGTTCCCTGGCCACAACAACAACATCAATAACAACAACAACGGCCTGCTCGGATCGGCCACGTCCAGCGTTCTTTGTCCTGCAGTAATGCGCTTGTAATGACTAACGACTGCAGGGACATGCAAAGTCCTGGCTCTGGCTCGGTCCGGGTGGACTGGACGGCCACACGACGCTCGCCCTTGAAGCCCCGTGTGACGCGAGGCTGTGACAGGACAACGCAGGACGCAGGACACAGCCAGGGCAACCTATTGCACAAAACACGGCTCGGACTCCCGAGCCGCAAACGCGGGCAAGATGCCCAGTGGGTTACACTGCCCACCCATCAGGCGCCCCAGGGCAGGGCAGGGCCCCTTGCCGTCGGGTGGGTCATCGCTCTGTCTCTCTCGAACTCATGGGGCGTCCCGCACCGGGTGCGAGAGAGACAGATCCAGTGGTGCCACGCGGTGCCGGCCGCCGCGACGCTGCGCACCACACGGTCCGTCAAATTTGGTGCAAACGGAAGTAGTGAGGACGCAGACAATCAAGGTGTCAAGCTGGCGTGAGAACGCGGCGCGCGGTGCGCGGCGCGTCACGGGAACTGTACGGCGCGGTGCGACGCGGCACGCGACACGCCGCACTGTACGCGCGGGCTTGGCCTCCTCCATGTCTCCGACGCGCCGCGCCCCGCCGTGCCACGATGGGCCACTGGGCGGGCGGCCATGGCACACGACAATGTAGAATAGCGTGTCGAGTCCCGTCAACGACCTCACACCGATGGACCATCGCGGCGAAACCGCGCTTTGACGGACCCAAACGCCCCGGGACGTGCGATCCTGTTTCCAGGATCAGCCGGCAGTTCGGACGGCCGGCACGCAATGGCGTTCTTGTGTGGCCGGGGCCGCGGCATGTGGGAAAAATGCAAAAATGCGATATGTCCACCTGCCTCCTTTACGCGCCTGGCGCTGGCCAACTTACTTGTTTTTGACGGTCTTGGTACGTCTTGGCCTGCTCGGCCTGCTCGCAGTGTGCCCGTCGGAGCCCTTCCGTCCGCACGTGCACTTCACCCCGCGCGCGCTGTGGATGAACGACCCCAACGGGCTGGTGTACGCGGCGGGCGAGTGGCACCTCTTCTACCAGTTCAACCCCGTGTCCGACGTGCCCGGCAACATCTCCTGGGGCCACGCCGTCAGCCCCGACCTGGTGCGCTGGACCGAGCTGACGGGGGAGGGCAACCCCGCCATCCCCTACGACGGCGACACCGAGCTCATCTTCTCGGGCAGCGCCGTCGTGGACCAGGACAACACCTCCGGGTTGGGCACGCCGGAGAACCCGCCCATGGTGGCCATCTACACGAGCGCCAACGCCACCAAGCAGGTAAGCCCAAAGTCAACGGGTGGCTGTCTCTCTCGCACACCTGAGCAAAAGGCCACGAGTGCGAGAGAGACAGCGAAAGGGCCCTGCTCGATTGACGCGGGTGTGTTCCAGGCGCAGTCGCTGGCGTTCAGCCTCGACAACGGGCGCTCCTGGACCAAGTACGAGGGCAACCCCGTGCTGGACGAGGAGCAGAAGGAGTTCCGTGACCCCAAGGTGCAGTGGCACACCCCCACCCGGCGCTGGCTCATGGCCGTGGCCCTCGCCGACGACCGCAAGGTCCGCTTCTACTCGTCGCCGGACCTCAAGGTACGCCTCGCATGCCTCTCGAACAGAGCTTTCGTCACTCTGTCTCTTTCGCACGGGGTGCGAGAGAGACTGAGTGACGTGGCACTGTTCGGAACTAACCCACAGTTTCGACGTTGAAACTCTTTGTCATCACGGCTTGCTTTGCCCGCTAGGAGTGGACGCAACTCAGCGAGTTCGGGCCGATGGGCGCGGTCGAGGGGCAGTACGAGTGCCCGGACCTGTTCCCGCTGCCCGTCGACGGCGACCTGGAGCGGCTCAAGTGGGTGCTCGTGGTGAACGTGAACCCCGGCGGGCTGCAGGGCGGCTCCTCGGCGCAGTACTTCGTCGGCGACTTCGACGGCGAGCGCTTCGTCGCGGACGACCAGGACCCCAAGGCGGTGCGCTGGCTGGACTACGGCAAGGACTACTACGCCGCCGTGTCGTGGGTCGGCGCGCCCGACGGCAAGCGGTACATGATCGGCTGGATGAGCAACTGGCAGTACGCCGCCAAGTGAGTCGACGCAGAGCCGAATCTTTAAGTTTGGTCTCCCGGCAGCTTGAACGTCTGTGTCTCTGGTGTCTGCAGGACGCCGACGTCGCCGTGGCGCAACGCCATGAGCGTGCCGCGCGTCATGTCGCTGCGAAGCCGCCCCGACGGCGGAGTGGACCTGCTGCAGGAGCCCGTGCCCGCGCTCGCGTCCACGCTGCACCGCACCGCCGAGCCCATCATGACGGCGGCCACGCTCAACGTGTCGGCCGGCGGCGCGGCCGTGGTCGCCAACGGCTGCGACGGCGCCTTCCTGCTCGAGGTGACCGTGTCCCTGGTGGACGGCGCCACGGGCGCCACCGTGCTGGTCCGCGCCGCGGAGGACGGCTCCAGCGGCACCGGCATCGTCTGGGACTCGGAGAAGGGTGAGCTGGCGGTGGACCGCCGGAAGTCGGGGCTCGTCGACTTCAGCGCGGACTTCCCCGGCGTGCACGGCGCGCCCTTGCCGTACGCCTCGCTGGCCGACGGCAAGCTCCGCCTCACGGTGCTCGTGGACGAGGGCTCCGTCGAGGTGTTCGCGGACGGCGGCCGCGTCGCCATCACGGACATCGTGTTCCCCGACAAGGAGCGCAAGGCCGTGGTGCTGAGGGCCGGGGGCGCCGGGGGCGCCGAGGGCGAGCGCGGCAGCGTGGTGTTCGCCGACGTCCGCGTCGTGCCGCTGCGACAGTACCGCGAGGGCTGCGCGCCGCGCGAGAAGACCTGCCGACTGGCCTTATGAGCAGGGCCCACGCTGTTAGCAAATTTTTAATCGATCGAAAATGGCCCAGCCGCTGATACGGTATCAACGTGCAACGAGCGACAGTTATTGTATTAAATGTTTTGAACGCCACACGAGCTTGGGGACTTCCCCCAATTTTCATTTTAAAAACAAAATTGGAGTCCTTATGTTGACCCCTAAAATGAAATCAACCTGGCCACATCGAAGCTGCACTTGAAGTTACGCCTTGGAGTTTGAAGAAAACTTGAAAGCCCCTCGTGATTTGTGTATGTGACTTTATCGGATTTTATGAATAAAAATGAATTTAATGAGGAATGTTGAATTTTTCATGCTACCGTCCCCTCAACAAATGCTCCTGTTTACATCGAATGATACGGCATTCTGGGGTGATCAAACAACAAAAATGATGACGGTGTGTTTTTGTTGTTGCAGTACGACATCGCCGAGAAGGCCGTCGCCGCAGTCAAGGCCGTCGCTGGCAAGGACTTCGATTTCGGAAATATCGCAGAAGCCATTTGTAAGTGGATGCGCAGGACGCAGGACTTTACAAAAAGTAGAATTGTAGTTAAAATTGTTTTAATTCTTTTCTTAGACATTGCCTCGGGCAGCACCATCGACTACGTGTACAGCAAGTGCGTGCCGTTCCCCTTCGTGTTCGAGCTGCGCGACAACGGCATCTACGGCTTCCTGCTGCCCGAGGACCAGATCGTGGACGGCGCCAGGGAGGCCTGGGCCGGCGTCAGGGTCATCGCGGAGGAGGCTTTCAAGGACGGCGTGCCCGCCAGCAACCCCGCCACCTGCCCGTCGCTCTGAGTCCGCGACATCGGAACGGATTTTTGGGAACTGGGGGAGCATGTGCATCGAATCGTCTGAAATATAAAGTTCTGTCTGGATCCTACCGTGTCTTTTTTCCTCGCAAATTTACCAGAGGGGAAAGACCACCCGGGAGGCCGTCGACCCCGCCGGCCGAGGTTTGTTGACAGTCGATAGCAGATCGGGGCGCACCGGTACCGCCGTCTCTTTCTCTCTTCCGGGTGCCGAGCATTTCACGCAGCGTTCCCACTCACTCCTCTCTTCTTGCCGCCGCGGCCGCTCCCCCGGGGTCGCGTCGTTTCCGGGACCGTCGGGACCGTCCTGCCGATAACGGCGCGCGCTGCCCGCCATAAAGGAGACCGGCCTGCCGAGGGGAGGACACTCGCCATTTCGGACTCGCGCCCCACCGCGCCGCCTCCCGCAGACTCACGTCGCCGTCCAGGTCACCGTCGCCGTCCTCGCCCGTCGCCAAGTGGCGCCGCCGGTCGCCGTCGCCGATAAGGGAGTTTGATTGAGCGTGCGCGCCATGGCCGCCGTGCACCGGGGCTGGGGCGGCCGGGTGCCGCTGCTCCTGGTCGTGGCGGTGGTGGCCGTGCGGCAGGCCGGCACCGCGCCGCTCTCTACGGCGCACCCGCACCCCGCCGCCAACGCCACGGGGCTCGGCAGGCAGGCCGCGGTGGTGGCCTTCAAGGACCACAAGGTGCTGCGCATCGTCCCCGCCACGGACAAGCAGCTGCAGAGCCTCCGGCAGTACCTCGGCGCCAACCCCACGGTGAGGCAGCCTCAGTGTGAGCAGAAGTGAGTTTGGGTGGGTCCTTTTCGAGTCCGGTGACGAAATGAAACTGTGGGCAGCTGGACGTGTGGCTGGACCCCACCGTCCCGGGCTCGCCCGTCGACGTGCACGTGTCGCCCGCCGACGCCGTGGCCTTCAGGGAGTACCTCGGCCGCCAGGAGCTCACGCACAAGGACATGATCCCCGACCTCGGCAGGCAAGTGTCAAACGGAAAGGGCCCGTCGACGGTTTGCCTTCAAAATACAACGAAACGTGAACGTGGCGTGTTTATCCCGTTCTCTAGAGTCGTCGACGAGGAACAGCGGCAGATGCTGGACGCCAAACGGTCCAACCCGGAGTTCGGCTGGGACAACTACCACACCCTGGAGGAGGTAACTGCACGCCGGAGTCGGAAAACGGGTAGTTCTGGGAACGACGAAGGGATGGACCTAACGCGACCTCCGTTTGGTGGCAGATCTACAAGTGGATGCAGAGCCTGGTGCGCAAGTACCCCGACGAGGTGACGCTGGTCGACGGAGGCCGCAGCTACGAGGGCAGGACGATCCTCGGCGTCAAGATCAAAGCCGTGGAGGAGGACGCCCCCGTCGCCTTCATCGAAGCGGGTTCGTCCTCCAGAGCCCAATAATTTTTGCACCGTCTTTGGCTTCTAATGCCGTTTTTGTGTCCAGGTATCCACGCGCGTGAGTGGATCACCCCCGCCACGGCCACCTTCATGATCAACGAGATCCTGACGCGGAGCGACGAGGAGTTCAGGTCGGCCGTGCGCGCCTACGAGTGGCACATCTTCCCGTCCACCAACCCCGACGGCTACTACTACACCCACAACGGGGTAAGGGAGCGGCCCCACACTTGGAACTTTAACATTAGGCCGCTAGCGCCCCCCGCAAGGCTCCGGTGTAAGGCGGAGCATACCTCGCCCCTGCAGCAGAGCGCCATATTCCTCGTTCTCTCTTTGTTCTACAGAACAGATTATGGAGGAAGTCGAGGAGCAAGTTCAACTACATCTGCTACGGCGCTGACCTGAACAGGAACTGGCCGTTCCACTGGGGAGGTGAGGGCTACTCCTTGCGCGACTGTGCAAAGCGCGAAGGCGCACACGTTCATGTTGACGCGCCTGTTACAGAGACCGGCTCCAGCTCGTCGCCGTGCTCGGATGTCTACGCCGGGGTGCGCGCCGGGTCCGAGGCCGAGACCAAGGCCCTGCGGCACTATGTGGATGCCCTCATGGAGAAGCCGAACCCGGTGGGCTTCAGCTACCCCCCCCCCCCCCCGCAATGAATTGCCTACCCCCTATAAACATGGCAGCCTTCCTCCCGGTCTCCTCTCCTAATCTCTCTCCATCCCTAAAGTTCTGATTTTCCACGTGACAGCTTCGAGTGTACATCAGCCTGCACTCGTACAGCCAGCTGCTCATGTTCCCCTGGGGGTACACTCTGAACCTGGCCGCGGACCACGCCGACCTCGACGCCGTCGCCCAGGCCGCCGCGCAGGCCGCCAGCAAGCGCTACGGCACCAAGTTCAGGCACGGCCCCATCGCCAGGACCATTTGTAAGTATGGGTACCTCGGACTCGGACTCACATGTCCTTTCAATGTCCTCTAGTGAGTTTATTATATTTCATCGCTGATGTTCCACTGATCTCACAGACGCGGCCTCGGGGAGCACGATCGACTACACCTACGAGAAGGGCGTCAAATTCCCATTCGTGTATGAACTGCGGGACACGGGGGAGCACGGTTTCTTGCTGCCGAAGGACCAAATCAGACCGGCTGCTGAAGAGGCTGTGGATTCCATGGCCGTCATCGCTGCCGAAGTCTTGAAAAGGAAGTGAACGTGACTGGTTCAACTATGGGTGACAGAGGCCACTTTTGACAGCGCGATCTATTACACTATAATGACCAATTTGAATAAATTATTTTTCTCTTTTATTGGGCCATGTACTCTGGCTGTGACATCCCCGACGAGTTCAATTTTTTGATGGGTGGAAAGTAGAGTAGATGGAAACAGAAATGAAGAAAGTGGCAACTTGGTTTCATAGTTCAAGAAAGAGAGTTGAAACAAATTCAGCATTGATTAATTTATTGCGAGAGCAACTGTATAATTCACTTCAGAATTAAGTACTAGTTCAGAGATGACAGTATCATTTAGAGGGAAGACAAATACAAGAGAAGTAACTGCAATTAATAAACATTTTTTTCAAATCCTATTAAGATTAGCACTTGAAGATAGAAACATTACATATTCAGCATTATTTAATACATACCTATAATTTTAAATGAAAGAGACAAGAAGCTTTTACAGAGATTATTTGCCAATCTGATTAACAGTTTTTTACAGATAAAATTCTAGGAACAATTTTTTTTTTTCTGAAACAGAAATGCTTAAAACGTACAGGTAAGGTAGTACAAATAAAAGGTATTAATTGATGTTATAAACTTTAAAAACTATACCATGATACCTATTGCATGATTTTTATTCATCAGTGTGTGTTCGTGAATGCACTTTCAAATCACTTAGGGTACTACACTGTTTGCTGCAGACAGTGCACTGGTAAGGTTGCTCACCAGAATGCCTCCGCATATGAACTTTCAAATCGCTTGCAGTCAAGCAGCCCTTTCCACACACAAGGCATTTGTACGGTCTCTCTCCTGTATGTGTCCTTGTATGAACTTTCAGATCAGAGCTGGTGGTAAATGACTTCACACAAAAATTGCATTTGTATGGTTTCTCGCCTGTATGGGTGCGAAAGTGCACTTTCAAATCACTTGAAGTCATGCATTGCTTACCACAAACCGTACACTTGTATGGTTTCTCGCCAGTATGCGTCCTAATGTGAACCTTCAAGTCGCCGCTGGTGTTACAAGCTTTGCCACAATGAGAACATATGTGAATTTTTTCCCCAGTGTGTATTCTATAATGGACTCGAAGATCAGAACTAGTATTACACAGTTTGCCACATTCCACACACTGAAAAGGGCGCTCCCCTGTGTGTGTGCGCACATGGACTTTAAGATCAGAGCTTGTTAAACACATTTTGCCACATTCAGTGCATTTATAAGGCCTCTCACCCGTGTGAGTTCTCATATGGACTTTGAGATCATATGAAGTGATACATTTTTTTCCACATTCAGAACAGACAATTTTCCCCCCTTCAGCAGCATGAATAGCAATATGTTCCTTAAGTTCTACATTTGTAGTAAACATTTTGCCACAATCTACACAAGCAAAAGGTTTCTCAGCAGCATGGGTGCGATTATGCCTTGCTAGGGCACTACTTGATGTAAACTGCTCTGAGCACTCAGTGCACTGGAAAGGTTTCTCCCCAGTATGAATTCTGCAATGTGTTACATAATTTCCCTTCCTCGTATAACATTGCCCGCAGTCATCACATTGGTAAACCTTATCAGATGTGGCAATGGGTTTCAGGGTAGTTTTGAATGTCGGTGTGTGTACAGTGGTTGGGGAAGAGGATGTTGTTTCGGTGGAAGTTGATGAAGAACTCGGATTGGACTGCTGTGAAACCACAGAGGTGACATTTGCAGGTGGAGTAGAAGAATCTGATGGTACGTTGGAGTACTCAACAGAGCGGGCCTGTTCATCCTTATTTAACTGCTGTTGTTGCTGCAAATGTTGCTGAGATATAGAAGATGGAACGCTTATAGGAGGTGTCGGTGGAACAGTGGGATATTCAACATTGAGCGTCCGTGGTTCATTCTTGTTCATCTGCTGCTGTTGTTGCATAAGTTGCTGGGAATTCACTGAAAGTGGCTGTTGATCATCCTTGTTCATTTGCTGCTGTTGCATGTGTTGTTGTGCGAGAGTAGACGATACACTTACAGACGCTGTTGGTGGGACGGATGGTACAGTAGAATAATCCACATTGAGTGCCCGCGGGTCGTTCTTGGTCATCTGTTGCTGCATGAGTTGTTGCGGGCTCATAAACATTTGGTGCTGGCTTGATGCTGCGGCTGCTGCTGTTTGGTGATGCTCAGGCAAACAGGGCAGGCTGCCTGAGGGGTGCAGGCCAGAGCCAGAGTGCTTCAAGGATCTCATGTTGTTGGTTCCCATGAGATTCAGATTCATGGAGGGGTCACACCATCCCACTAAAACAGAACAAAGACGGCATCACTGAAACGACCCTACAGAAGCCTCAACCATACGCAGAAATATCAGAAAGTATTTCTGCAGACCAGGTTGTATCCCCCCCCCCATTTATTGTTTGATCACTATAATCATAGGTGCAGAAGGTAGTAACATTATAAAAGGACTTTACCTGCAGTCTCATTCTTCTCACTTTCATCATCGCTAGTTCGCTCCTCTTTTATATCTGAGTCAGGATTAGGTGCTCTCAGGGTATTGCCATCAATAGTGGACCTGATAATTACAGTAAACAAATCGTTAAAATTGGTAGCAAGACTAAAGTAGAACCAGAAATTCGAAACCGAGACAAAAGTTAAAAGCTTACCAGTTAAAATTAGCAAAAGCGGGGTGGAACAACGACGAAAAGTTCATTAGGAAAGATGGAAGTTAAGAAAGCCACAGTAACTGTAAACAAAAATAAAAGTGCCTATGAATCCCCACACAAATTCTTACCACATACGAAATTTGACTTCAATGAAGCTCACCAAACTTTATAGAAGGGGAACAATGCCTGTGGCTCTGTGCCACTTTACGGGGCAGTTGTTTTCTGTGATGATATTTTTGCAAAATAAAGGTGCATTGTACGGATCAGCCGGGGAAGGGGTTATGAGAGTGCTCAGTATAATGTAGCTCTTTAATTTTCCTCCGTCTAAGATCGATAAAAACCTCAAATTATTTTGAAAAGCGCAGGCAAGGAAGTCAAGACTAACAAAGAGACCCACAGGCAGTTTTACAACACCTCGTGGAGCACTAACACTTTTCAGCTTGACAGAAGTTTCTGCAAGATGCAAATTAGGCAGCTGCAGAAGACAACAAAACCAAAACAAAACGCACCGCCTTGCACAGTTTTTCTTCTGCTCTGCACAGCAGCGCCGAGAACGACATCCTTACATCCGGTGTCGGCGCGGGAACCTGCCGCTCGTTTGAAACCGGAGCTTTTCCGTGTCGGAAGGGATGCCTACGCCTCAGGCGTTCGTCGCGCGGGGCACTCGCAGGGGAGGCAGGCAACCCATTCTACATCCTGCAGTTGGGGTCGCAGGAAGTAAGGGAGGCATCGCACAGAGACGCGGCAAATTCAACGGACTTTACCTCAAATTTGAGAGTTTCAAATGAAATTTCTTGTTTTTAGGGAGTAAAGGTGGATCCAGACACGCGCAACGCGGGGTAAAAGGCTTGGGGCGGATGGCTCGAGGCTGGCACATGACTGCACGCGACACCGAAAATGATTAAAACCTGGCTCACACCTGCCCCTGCCCGTGTCTGAGGCACCTGTGAGCAGATTGCCGCATGCTACGGCACGGCTCTCATTCTGCACGTCGACAGTTTGAGTCTCTCTCGCTCTCGTGAGGCGTCCCTTTTCGGAGCGAGAGAGGCACAGCGACGGAAAGACTCTCCGGAATCGTCCTGCAGGTGCAAGGGCTGCAAGGGCAAGGGTGGCGCACGGCACTGCCAGGCACTGCATTCGGCCATCGCGTCTCCCTTCTTCCGGCCAGCGAGCTTCTCGGTTCTCCGGAACCCAAATTAGCCGGGTTGTCGTTTGGTTGACGATCTGGCCACGCCAGAACACAGCGAACAGCGAATGACTCAAGGTACGATGGGATGGGGTCGCGGCTCTATACGGTGAACCGAATAAAGGACGAGGCGTGGAATGGGTTCTTCAAAGGCTGACTGGCTGACCTATACTATACAAGATACAAGTGGCGGTGTTCGGTATCCCGGCTGTGATGAATACGATTTTAGTTCACCTTTCCGAGGGGCCTGCTCTAGTCCTGACGGGACGGGTCGGGTCGGCGACTCCGCGGTCCGAGTGGTCCGAGGGCGGAGATACGAGCTCGCCTCGCATCGGCCGGCTTGGCTGGGCTTGGCCGAGAAGGCTTTTCGTGAAAGGTCACGCGGTAATCACGGACTACTTCCTAAGAGGAAAAAGAAGGCTGGCGTTTAAACTTGAGTTACTGCCGCCAAAGCCGTGAGAAGCTCGGTCAAGTCCGCGCAGAGCGCAGCTACGTGATCGTAGCGCCTACGCCCCAACGGAAAAAGTCTGCGGAGCGCTAAAACTGCGCGGGAAAAGGAAACGGATTTTCGGATAGCACGTTCTGTAACAGTGTACGCGCGGCACGGCGGAGCCTGGCCAGGGGCCGGGCAGCCGGGCAAGGGACAGGTAGAGGGGAAATAATAATAAAGAAAACATTTCGTGACTCGCCTCGCCGGCCCCGTGGTGCCCCACCGCACAAAATCCTTGTCGAAATAGAAATAAAATTGCCCTTTATGGCAGGGACGGTGACCGCCTCGCCTCCTCCCGTCCCGGTGGAGTGCGGCTCGAGTGTTGTCATGTTGGCACCACGAGGTTCACGAGGTGAGGCAGGTGTCGTTTGGCGGGAAGGACGAGGCGGCCGGCGTGGCAACCCTGGGCAGTGTGACACCCTGGCAGCCCTGGCAGCCTGGCTGGACGCAGCTGAATTATGACGATCATTTTCGCAAAAGCTAGGCTTTACGGACTGCTTTGCCGCCACCAATCTCGATTCCCGCGCGAGAGACGCCTACAAAACGCGACTCTCAGAAAGTACCGGGTTACAGAAAGTACTCCCAGAAAACGACGTTTTTCATAGGCACGTATTCTACACCCCTCTAAAAATAAAATGGGATCCAAAATTCGTCTCCTCCGTCGTCTCTCCACGGAGACGCGGCCGGAATTTCTGAGATAAAAGTGACCCGGAAGGCCGATCTGATCCTTCGCTCCCCTCGTTGCGGGTTGGTGCCAGCCATGCTGCCAGTTGCGGCTGGAAGCCTCAAACAAAACCTGTTGGCGAGCGCGATGGTGCGATGGCGTACAGTGTGCCGTACACGTTTCGGGCGGTATGGGTTTCGGTAACGAGCTGCCCCGGGGAAGGGAAGGGGAGGGGAGGGGGAGGGTAGGAACGCCCGAAGAAAAGAAGGAAGGTGAGGTGAATATTTAAACTACTTTGTATGGCAGGGTGCCTCGGTGCACCCAGGCCGTGCTTGTCGGATGCTCTGGTCCAGTACGGGTACAGGAGAAGGGGGAGTCCTCGGCTCGGCAGAGTCTGAGGTGAGGAAGGTGAGGTCCCCGGTCTTCCACCTTCTCTACCTGGCAACCTGCGCGACGTGGCGGGGCGCGGTGGGGCGCGGCGGGGCGCGGCGAGGGGGGGGGGCACAGCGGGCACAGCCGTGGCACAGCACCGCCCGGCCGTGGCGTGGCCCGGCGTGGCCTTGGAGAGGCGCGGGTTGTCTGACCGATCGTCCGTCCGTCTACCTGCCCGCCCTCATAGCGAGACCACGGGCGCAGGCTCAAATGAGACATGAAATGGAAACTTGAAAATTTGTTGGTTTTCGACTGGAACCCCGGACTTTCATTTCGCGAACAAAAGGACAGGCTGACGCGCGGGCTGCCTACCTCCCAGGCGGCCTCCGCGCTCCGCCCGCCTGCCGCGCCGCCTTCACCGCGGTCGCCCGTTCGCCGAGCGATGCGCCGTTGAAAAATGGCGGCCGAATTTTGGCAACGCCGTGGGAGGGTTAGAGAGAGAGGGGCCGGCCGAGCGGGCCGCGCCGCCGGAGCAGAGCAGCGGGGCCAGGCTGTGCCAGGCGGCCAGGCAGAGTGGCCTGTGGAACAGAGGAACCGGCGGCAAAATAAAAGGTTTGGCAATAAGAAATACCCGGCTCTGGCCCCGGACGCGCCGGACGCTCTGTACGGGGGTACGGCGTGGCTGGCGGTGGCTGGCCGGGGCCCAGGGGATCGTGCATAAATGGTGTGGACAGGGAACTCCTCCCGTCGTCCAGGTACGCCTTCTCGAAACGCTCCAGTACTTATTGTCTGGAGTGTACCCTGTACCGACCCATTGGTTATTCCATTGCTCGCGCTCGGATTATTCGCACGTGAAATAAACAAGGCCAGGCCCGCCTCCCCTGCGGGCTGATTCCGAACAGATCTGTCGTCGCTCTGCCTCGGCTCTGCCTCTCTCTCGCACTCGTAGAAAGGCCCGTACAGGGGTGCGAGAGAGGCAGAGCACCGTTCGGAACGGCTCCGAGGGGTGGCTCGCCGAAGGGGTTGGTCTCTACTTTTTCACCGCGTCTTCGTTTTCCGCACCTTTGTCGAGCTGCTCGTTCGTTTGGTAGTCGCGAGGCCGCCGACGGCTGGGGGCTGGCCTACATCCTGCCGGCCTGCCGGGAGAGCGGGCGACGGGCCAGTCCCGGTGACACCACCGCCGCCGTGCGTGCGTGCGTGCGTCGCTCCAGACGACGTCGTAAGCACACACGTGTCCTGGCTGACAAAAGAACGCGGTGGCCGTGTTTTTAATTTTATTTTCATTTCCCCGCGCCGCCGATTCGGCCGGGGATGACACGATGTCCTGCATGGTCCCGTGGGGCGGTGGCGCTCCCCGCTGCTCTCTTATGGTCGAGATTGTAGGTGAATAGTCGTTTTATTTTCGGGGGGGGGGGCACAGAGAGAGAGCGTTGCGGGATTTCCAGGAAGGACGCCATGAGTGGAGTCGGCGTGGAGAATCGGGCCTCGCCGTAATAGGAAAGGGATCAATAAATAATGATTTTGCAGACATTTCAGACGCCTGCCAACAATTTCATCCAACCGCTGCGGGACCTGTGCAAGGGCGTGCGGTAAACTTGTCTTTTCGGGTCTGTCGGCGAATACTTCAAGTGGCACCCTCTCTCGGACGCGCCCTCTACGGCCAAACCAAGATTGATGGAGTTCGGAGCGCGCACTGCCAGGCAACCGCCAGCAAGCTGATTCCGCACTACGTTCCTCGGTCTCTGTCTCTCTCGCACCCACGCGGGACTACGCGGGACTACGCGGGACGCCCCAGGAGTGCGAGAGAGACAGAGCGTCCACGATACGCCAGTTCGTGACTCCCTCTATTCGGCCGGCGCGGGCTGTGGCGAGGCCTGGCGAGGCCTGGCGAGGCGGTGGCTGGGACGCCGGCACGGCACGAGGTTCGTTCACCCGGCGCCTCGGTACTATGGACTCCGCGTCTCACCTCGCGACCTCTCCGCCTCTCGGGCCCGAAATACACAGAATACACTATACAGCGCGTGATGAGCCTTCCCCCTTGAAAGGCTTACGCCTCAGCTTACGCCTCAGCTTACGCCTCAGCTTACGCCTCAGCTTACGCCTCAGCTTACGCCTCAGCTTACGCCTCAGCTTACGCCTCAGCTTACGCCTCAGCTTACGCCTCAGCTTACGCCTCAGCTTACGCCTCGGCTTACGCCTCAGCTTACGCCTCAGCTTACGCCTCAGCTTACGCCTCAGCTTACGCCTCAGCTTACGCCTCAGCTTACGCCTCAGCTTACGCCTCAGCTTACGCCTCAGCTTACGCCTCAGCTTACGCCTCAGCTTACGCCTCGGCTTACGCGGCCGCGAAAAAGCGCCGCCAACTCGCCGCAAGATAACACTCGAATTTCCTTTCATCTCTAGAGAAGATTGGTACCTTGGCCCGCGGGCCGCGGCGCACAATGCCTAGAAGAATGCTCGGCGTTGAATGTACACTCTAGGGCCAGATTGAAAGAGAGCAACGAGGTGGGTACCCAGGGAGAACAAAAAAGTCCAAAGTATGTCAATATGACCTCTAAATGAGCCATCTTTGGTCAAAATTTGGTCCATTTTGATGTCCAAATGTCATCATTTGATGTCAGTTTGATTTGATTTTGACTACCTGTTCTCCTTGGGTAGGGGATTGGCCTCAAGACATCCTCCTGAAGGTTGTATTTCTACGGAGTGCGTTTTCCCGCCTAATTTTGGGAGCAGTTTTGCCGCAAAAGTTGGACAAAACGGCGACAACTGTGTCTGTGTGGACGCGGTG